GTGAGACGTACGGAGTAAGGATAATCGTCGGGTATGGATGAGAGTTCAATAAGTGCCTTGATTCTGAGGATGGTGAAGGGCGACATGTTGGCAGTGCTAATGGAAACCCATTCTTCGTTTGCTTGGCCCGGCGCGATGTTCTCAGTAATGACGGAAGGGGGGACTACGGCGGGTGGCGGCGTTATGCTGCGTTTGCCGGCGGTCCATGCGTGTTGCTGGACGAGTTCTCGCTGTCCCAGGTCACGTGCGCCTAGGTCGGCGGTACGTTGGAGGAACTCGCTAGTCGCGCGTTGCGGCAGAGGGTCGCGAACAGCAAAGTCACGGGGAGTCATCTGCGGAGTCCTCGGCGGAGGCGGAGAGAAGCGCTGGTCCGGATCCTGTTGCGCCCACGCGCGTTGTACCGTCGGGCCCGTGATGTAGGACATCGGCGGCGTCCGCGCCACCTCCGAACCAAACGACGACGATCTACTCACCGCCACACCTGCCGGCGTACTTGTCTCCGGCGTCCCGCCCCACCCCTTCGGAGCCGGCGTGCCATCACTGTTATACATCGACATTGGAAGAATCATCTTTTACTCAAGAAAAATTTCAAACTGGCACCCCCACCTCCTGCAGCACTGTGTGAGTCGCAGGGTGCTGCTTTACCACCAACAGGAACTGCGCACGCAATCCCATATCAGTCGCCAAAACCGACGGGTTCTACAACAAAACACGTCACTCTGATCGGGACTCCTTCGGGACCTCCCCCTGGAACCTTCCCCCGTGCATCGAACGTGTGTGCTTACGTTAAGGAGCGCGGCAAAGTCTATGCCATGTTGCGCACAGTCTACCACGAGCGCGGCAAATGCGGGATCGTTCATGAGGACCTGCACTCGCGGGTCGGCGGTGTTCACCGGGATAGGCGCCAGCAAGGACCCGTATACCTCCGGTTGGTACGGCTCGGCGAGCATCCGCTCCGGTGCTGAGGGTCCCCAGGCGTCCGTGGGTAATTGTTGGTGTTGCGCGATCATCGTGTCCCAATTGTCCAACACCTCGCTCCCGCCACCGTCGACGGCGTTGTACATCAGGTAATCCGTCTGCGGCGGTGGCGCCGCCGGTGGCTGTCCCACTAGTTGCGCCTGTCCCACTAGTTGAGGCTGTCCCGCCAATTGTGGCTGCCCCACTAGTTGAGGCTGACTCGCCAACTGCTGGTTCGCCAACTGCTGGTACGAAGACCACTCCTCCGGGTTGTTCACCATCTTCTGCACCTTTGCCGACACAGACCGCTTCTGCCTCAAGTTCGCGTCCGTGTCCGCCGCCATCACCGCATCCGGGTCCTCGATGCTCTCCATCGGAATCTTTAGAGGCTTCTCCACTTTGAGCGTCTTCTCGAACACACATGGTCTCGCCAGCAAGTCTTCCGAACTGCAGAAATCACTCACCTGCGTCACCTTCATCGCAAACTGTGGTGACAGGAACCACTCCGACTCGTTCGGGAAGAAACTCTCCAACGTCCCAAACTTCACCTGTTCCTCCGGAACCACCACCATCGCGTCCAAGTCCTCCAGGATCTCCACCACGCCCAACTAACAGAAATAAGTGAATGCCGACCTGATCGATGATCCCCCAAACCCCATACGGTAAAATCCAACCCTGTGGCGAAAATCTCCCTCTGGTCGAAAGTGCCCGTGGAGCTTACCGGAATGATGCTCCCTGTGTGTATTATATCGCTGAGGCGCCGTTCTTGAATGGCGCCATTCATCGGTCTGAGCTTGCTTTCCTCCAGGAACTGTTCGTAACGGGGATGTGTTTGGAGCTCGGTGTTGGTTCCTGTGAGCAGCCTCACGAGGATAAAACGGTCCTGGTCGGGGGTGACTTCAATGAGTCGCTGCACGTGCTTCCGGACGCTTTCGTGCGACCAGAGCCGGACACATGCTAGACCCAGCGTCCCGTTTCGTGCGATTATCTGGATGACTTCGTTTCCACGCATCCCCAGGCTGTCCGGGTTTCCGGAAACCAAATGGGGGGAGGCAAAGTCGAGCATGGTGTCGTCAGTGTCGTGGGTCACGGCTATCCGCAAAGGATTGTTGGCCATTTGCATAGCTAAGCACTTGAGGAGAATGCACAGGTTCTTCGCGTCCTCTTCCGACTGCTGAGCAGGGTCTTTGTCTTCAGAGAAGTATTTGTCCCGAGTGGAGTCTTTGTCCCGAGTAGAATCTTTGTCCTGAGTAGAGTCGCCCACCAAGTCTATGGCCCTTGACATTAGCGTCCGTAGTGAACTCAGGAGGGAGAAGATCAGCGCGGGCTGATTCAGAGCTACATTGTACATTTGACACAGCAATGCCACGCACAGCATGACAATCCGACTAGAGCCTTTAGCTGCTTCATTGCAAAGGTGGATTAGCGAGCTCAAATCGACGCTTCGTTGCACGTTCTGTAATGCCCGCATTGTCGCTTTAAGAAGTCGCTCAACTCGCGGGAAAATCAGTCGCCGCAAAAACTGCTGTTCTTCTCGCGTATCATTCTTATCGAAATATACCTCCACCAACATTTTCATTCTCTCCGTTAATAACTGCGTGACGGGTAACCTGCACTTAACGAAGAGGTTCAAGTACTCTTCGCAAAGAGATAACATCGCTTCATCGTTGGAATCGGACAAGATTAGGACGACGCGATCCAGCAACGAAGCCACAGCCTCAATGGACAGTTCGGAGGACAGCGCCGACTGCCAGAACTCCGCAGTGACATGGTCCATAAGATTGCGGCAAACCACGTCCTTAATCACGCTCCAGGTCAAGCTATCGCGGTCATAAATGTCTACTGGTCCCCCGAACACGCTGGTAGAGTAGACCCGCGATTTGTCGCAGCACATGCTGACCCGGAGCGAGTTTGCGTCCTTAAAATGCGTGGAAGGAAGCAGCGCACACACGTGTGCGCGGTGCGCCAAGGGGATATTTCGGTGCACCGGATCGAATTCCAGAGGCTCGCCGGCGATCCGGAGGGCTACGGCTTGTTCGTCGCCGTCGAGAGCGAGGCCCTTGGGGTCGTTGAACTTGCGGGGAACGAGGCGGGTGGCGGTGGAGGGGCAGGAGAGGCAGAGGACGACGCCGGCTTCCGTGTCGAGCATGGCGGGCGTGACGTGGTTGGGCATGATGGGCGGCTGGGTGGGCGAGACGATGACACTCCAGTCGACGTCGCTGGTATGAGGATGAAGCGACAGGAGGATGTCGTCGTCGTAGACACCGCGGAGTGCGCTGAGACAGAGTTTGTCTAGCACGGGCGTGCCGCGGAGCTCGAGGACGATGCGGTTGAAAAGCCACCAGCGGACGGCGGGGTGTGCGGCCACGACGTAGTTGCGGAGGAAAGACATGCAGGCTTCCAGTAGTTCGACGTCGCAATTGCGCGCGGAACCGACCATGAGTGTCTTGATGCCGTACCAGATGTCCGCGTCCATTTGCCGGTGTTTGTCCCAGAGCGCAAAGCGCCCGAAATTACGAATTAGGTTAAGGCAGATCTGGCGCGCCTCCTTATCGCGGCATCGACGCGGACCGAGGAACGAAAGGAACTTCGCGGAGTCCGTTTCCCCCACGGTGAGCGAGACACAGACGCAGAAGCAGGTTCGTAGGACGCAGAGCATGCGCGGCATGTGATCGGGAGCTAGATAGCGCAGCGGGGGATAGGAGACGGCGAGCGGCGGTTTCTCGAGATGGTTGAGGGGCGCCATGACAACAGCCGCTCCGATTTCGTCTTTGTAGAGGTAGGCCCGAACGGTTTCCTCGAAGCAGAGTTCGACAATGGCGTTGATGAGTGCCAACAATGGTTTGATCAGTTTGCGGCGTTGTGGATTTTGGGATTCGCGCACAAACGTGGTGGGTAGCAAGACATCGCCGCCACGTTCGAAACCACCCATGAGTCGCGACTTGGCGACTGCGACGTCCCCCACGTCCAAGTTGTGTACAAGCCCGGCAGCCCGCCGGATGGCTGCGTCGCACTGTGTCGAGTAGCTGACTTCATAGTCGCTGTAGCTCAGACACGCCTCCGTGACATGCCGGTATACCTCCGGCCCATCTGCCAGCGCCACCACTTTAATCGTTCTCGCCAAAAAGTGTTCGCCGAAACACTCATCCCACAACCCAGGCCGGTGCAATACCGCAGACAACAAGTGCCGACGGGCATGCGAGTCTTCTAACGCACACGTCAGGTTCTGCAACACCACTGACGAATACTCCTGCTCCGGCCCTGCGCCATGGAACGCGCACTCCAGCAAATACAAAGCAACCGCAAACCGCCCGTTCCGGCGCGACGTCACCAACTCCACCTCCTTCACGCTCAAGGAACCGTGCCGCAAGTGCAGCAACAACCACAACGGCGACACACTACGCAACTAAAGAAGACCACTTGCTTGAGGACCGGGGGGTGGGATGGAGGACCAGGGGTGATGTAGATGTTACCTTGTCGGTTTCGAAGTTAGGAGTCGGGGTGAGCCTGACGAGGAGTTCGTCGGAGAGCGCGAGAGTGCCACCATCGACGGTGAGGACGAAGTAATTGATGATGTGGGGCAGGAGAGGTCCGGCCGGAAGGTTGGATGTATCTTCGAGGAACGCGGTTTTGTGGAGCAACTCGATGATAGAGGGGGGTATGCGCAAGATGTCCTTCGATCTAAAATCGTCTAGGTATTTCCCTTCTATCAGCCTGTGGATGATAAAAAGGAATGAGTCTGAGGTGCCCTTTTTGACCCAGGGCCGCCGTTCATCTACTACTTTCCGGGGCGCTTCATTTCGCGTCTGGGTCTTTTCATTCCGCGTCTGGGTCTGTTCATTCCGCGTCTGATCGTCCCGCGTTCCTTCGTTCCGCGATTGGTCGTTTCGCGACTGTTCATTTCGCGTCTGGGGGTCTTCGTCGTGGTTCCGGAGTCGGGTTTGGTCTTGATTTGTTCGGTCTTGGTTGTTTCGTTTACTTAGGGGTTTGTCTGAGTGTGCGCCGAAGGGTGCGCAGAGGGCGACGATCCAGTCGACGGCTTGTTCGTGTCTGCCTTTGAGAAGAGCGTACTTGGCGGCGTAGATAGCGCGGAGTACGTCGAAGCCTTCGAGTACGTCTTGACTGCCGTCTTTGACTTGGTCGAGAATGGCAAGAGTGTCACCGGTGAGAAGAAGTGGGTCGGCAGACACAAGTACGCACACAAGTTCGATAAGGGCAAGACGGAGTGTGCGGGGCCTATCACGACTGGCGGCGGTGAGTGCATGTTTCACTGTTTGGTCTGCTAGTTCCTTGAGTCTTATTACGCGTTCAGGATTGGTGAAGAACATGGCGACAATCCGTGTTAGACGTTCCTGCGATTGCAAGGAAAGATCTTCGGAACCCCGCTGGACCCAATCGACAAGTGCAGCGAAGGCCGGAGCATGCCTGTCCAGTGCGGGATCTTGGAGCCAAGCACACAACGTACTCTCGAACTGAGCTCTTCGTACCAACCCCTCACCTGGACAATGCGCCCCTACCATCCCCGCCAGCACATCCCAGAAACGCCACACCCCCGCTTCCACAGGCCCCCGTCCAGACTGCTCCACCGCCGCCATAAACAACTCAACCTCACCAGAGAACTCCGCATTGTAACTCGCCGCCGGCCGCGGCGCCCGTAAGGCGCGCCACCCCTTCGCTGCCTCCTCCAATGGACCTGGCGGCGCACTCAACTTCGCCTTCAACCCCCGCACTAACGGGCTGGCGCTCACTCCCCCACGTAATCCCGAAGGAGCTAGCTCGCCCGGAGGAGATAGTTTGCCCGGAGGAGATAGTTTGCCCGGAGGAGATAGGTTGTCCGGAGGAGGTAGTTTGTCCGGGGGTAGTCCGTCCCCAAAGGTCTGAAGTGGTCCATCCCGAAAATCGTCTCGAGGGACGGTCTCGTCTTGAGACCGCGACTCCTCTTGAGATCGGGGCTGGACGGTGTAACGGCCCTGAGGGTCTTCGGCGGGGTGCATGAGGGCCAGGTGGGCGTCAGGACAGGCCTGTGCGGAGAGGGCGGGCGTGAAACAGGGTTGGAGCATGAGGGCCTTGGCAGTGGCACGGAGGGTGCGTTTGGGATCCTTGACGACGTGGCCGAAGATGCAAAGGGTAGCTTTCTGGAAGCGGCCACGGATAATGATTTTGCTAGCTATCAGGAGGTCAGGGAACTGCGGTTGGTCGAGCCACACGGCGGTGGGGGGTGTAAACACTAGGGTGCCGGGGATGGGGCCGGGCGACGGGAGGAGGCGGTGTGTTTTGCCACAAGCGATGGCGGCCTCCAATTTCTGCGACCGCGTTACCACCGGCATGGTAATGAGGGGGAGCAGGTTGTCGACCCAGAGCTCCAGTCCGCATTGGTCAGGCGCGGGTACCGTTTTGCCCTCCACGCCGCCCAGCTCCGAACCCTGCGGCAGTACCACCAAGTGACTGACCAACACCGGGTCTGCAAACTCTCCGACCACACACTGCACACCTAACGTGTCGCCATCCGACACGAACGGCGCACCCGCCGACTCCTCGTCCACTTCCACTGCCGCTTGCTCCATTGCACTCGACAACGGCCGCAGACGTGAGTCCGCCACCGTCTCCGCCGCCGGCAACTCCATCACATCAATGAACGTGTTCTGTGACGCTATAAACAACGCCCCGATGTCCTGTGGACAAGCACACTCCTTCTTCTCCCACTCGCCGCCATGCTGCCGTAATATGGGAGCAAACAAATGCGCGTCACGTAGCCTACCAAACAACTCTCTCCACGGACACCATACGCTCCGAGCACCCTCCCCACAGCGCTGCACACACAGTGCCACTTACATAACTACGGACCTTTATTTAAACAGACTTATTTAAATGTATTTAAATTGAGGTTCCGCAGGGAACTCCGGGTTCCACGGAGAACTCAGGGTTCTATGGAGCGTTCCAACCGGCGCTAAAACCACCCCCACTCCAATATCGATCGTGTGCACACCACAAACAAACGCCAAAACATTTCTTAGCCGAGACTGGCATCCACGTCGCCGTCCGCGCTTGATGGGAATAGGGCCCAATGCCGAGTCCCACACAGCGCAGGCAATTCCCACCAAGTTCCTGCGCGCGCTCAAAAGGTCGAGATGATGCGCACCCCCGACAGGTCCAAGAGGAAGGGCATTTTTAGTCGCTGCCACTTGTTGCTTAGCCTGTGACAGGAAACGACTGGAGTCCGGACGGCCATTGTTGAAGGAAACCCATTGGTGGTGTGCGAAACCTGTAAAATGCTGCCAGTCTTTCTGACATTGTTGAAGGACTCTCTAGGTTGAAAACAACGGGTGGGGAAGACTCCAACAATCGCTGGAGCGGGTCATTCACCAATCCGGGCCATTTTCCTTTCTCTCAATCGCCAATCGGCCACCGTTATAATCGGCCGCATACTTCGCGTCTAATTTCCGACCAGCCAAGGCCGTCCTGTTTATTGGTCACAAATAAATGGACTCCCAGGTCATGCCAGTGCAAGTAATGCCGTGGCACTATACGCTATTGGTCACACCGGTCCGAGGCCTCACAATCATACACCGCTCAGTATAATAGACGATGCTGGTGCGTTCTTGGCAGTGGAGGTCACACATCGGAAATGCTCAAGATACTACAAGCTTTGCAAGAGGAATCGGCTTTGATCATCTCGGGTGCAGATGTAGCGAGAAAAACGAGATGCCTCAGTGAACTACAGCCATACCAGCATGCAATCGAGGCTTCCATAACCTTCTTCAAGGCGTCAAATGACAACCATAGCAAGGTACAGACTCCCTCCCCTTGTACCTTACCCATGTACCTTACCCATGTACCTTACCCATGTACCTTACCCATGTATACCCTGGTCCATTTTGTGTATCTGTATCCCCATGTACCGTATCTGTATACCGTGTCCCCATGTACCACGCTCTGCTCTGCTCTGACCCATGTGCTACTCTGCTCTAATCCTATCTGTCTTGTCCGTTCTCCCCCCCCCCTCCAAACTCTATACTCATCCGTCGGCCTCCGACATATATTTCCGAGATCGATTATTCTCAGATACCAGACTACAAATGTTGTGAAATGAAAAACCTACCCAGGATTAGACCGGTGGGTGGATCGTAAGAATATTACACCTGCCTAGAAATCCCCTCCTTAGGTTCATTGCTGCTGCCCTTCGGTGCATTTTGGTGACGATCTATTGTTTCCTGCTGGCCTTGTATACGCGTCCCGTCGGCGTAAGAAAATCCTCACCTCGTCCTCACCAACCTCAACGTCCTCCCGTAGTTGATTGTAAACGGACCTGGTACCTGCGTCCCAGTTGTGCTTGGGTTCTTCCTCGCCAAACTTGTACCCACCTGGCGACAGGGACGACCTGTCATGCGCATACTCTACGTCGAGTCATTCTGCCGCGCACGGTCCCTATCCATGTCGGCTGAAATTTGCCTACCGTTCGTTGATAAGTACGCAACACCCGAGTGTATCATCGGCACATATACCCCGGCACATATACCCCGGCACACAAGACACTACTTGTATAGATTAATTGTACACTGGCCGAAGACTTACGCCGCCATCCCCAAGATGTACCGGTACAAGAGCGTTTTGTTGGAAGGTGAAGGTTCCATATATCTAGGACCGTCACTTTTGCCGGCTCAGTAAGGGATTGGCAACCATCATTACGATCTTGCGAATCAGTTTACGGTTCGCCTCCGTCTCTTCTGGGTGGTTCCACATTTGCACAAGCCTCTCCCCTAGACCGATGCCCGTCATACGCTCTGGAGTTATCTAAAAGGAAGATGGGTTAAGGCGATGGATTACGAAGGCGATGGATTACGGAGGCGATGGGTTACGGAGGCGACGGGTTGCGGAGTCAATTTCAGGAGACGAATTGAGAATACGAGTTGAGGAGAGGGGGTGGGAGTGAGACGCGACGGACAACGAGAGGACGAAGGAGCGATAGGACCAAGGAACCACAGGGCAAAGAATGATTTCCGTTGCAACAGGGCAACGGGGTGGAAGATTAGGTGCTGGGGTGGAAGAATAGGTGCTGGGGTGGAAGAATAGGTGCTGGGGAGCCGTACATGAGCCTTGCTGAGGAGCGCTAGTAGTTGCCGGCGTATGGTAAAATTGGCAAGATGGCCCTCCACTTGAGGCTGGAGCCAGAGCGCACACGCTTCCAGAAATCCATCAGCCATGAAGTGTGGGTTTAAGACAGGCTTGGAGACTTCGCGGACGACCGTTTCAATTAACTGCAGCTTGGCAACTGCTGGTTGGCCATGACGGAGATGTTCGACGTCTGTATCGTAGGCGTCCCGCATGTTCTGCAGCAAATTTTGGACCCGATCTGACGCGTCTTGATCGGAAATTTCCGTGCGCCGTCTCTTGCTCTTGAGACGCTCCATCGCTTGGTCAAACACGGTCTAAAGCAACATGCGCCAGTACGAATGCGGGGCGGCAAGAATGCAGGGCGGTAAGAATGCGAGGCGGTACGGGTCGGTTGAGCAGCAGGTCGGTTGAGCAGCGGGTCGGTTGAGCAGCGGGTAGGTGTGCGGGTCGACGAGTAAGGACAGACAGGGTGAGTAGTCCGGGTGGATAAGTTCGTGTGAGGGCGTACATTTTGAACCTGATGTTCCTTCTTCTGTTTGGTCTTTTTGGTCTTGCCCGCCGGGTCCTTGGTTGCATGTTCTTGAAGTGCAGGCTTGGTCGGTCTCGAGGGTTCAATGATTTGTGTCTTGCTGCGCGAGTTCCCGGTGAGGTCCTGCTGCTCTATCTGGGAGTATACAGACGGCCCTTCATCGTCAAAAAGTCCGGCCGGCTCGTCAAACAAATCCTCTACGAGAAGTGCGTCGGCCACCCGCCGTGTGCTTACGGTCATCCGACATGCCGGGATAATATTAAACCGGAATTTCGCCACCACCTTACCCTCCAAAAAGCACCGACCTTTCAGACAGGCTGCACCTGCTTGTACCCTAGGCTGGTTGTTACCAAATTGGTCCTAGCCAGGAAGGCTGGCCAGTCTAGTTGTGCCTTTAAGCTAGCCCGCTGTCGGTAGTTGGAGTTTGCCTAGGTGTTCTTCGACCATGGACTGGGGCAGGTTGAGTCGTGTGGCGACGGTTTGTATTTTGTTTGCTCGGTCGTTTTCTGCGTTGGAGGTGGAGCTGAGTGTGGCGAGTATTTCAGCGGTGAGTAGGTCGACTTGGACGATGGCGGTTTTGGCGGAGAGCGGGTCAGGTCCGTAAGTAATGCGGAGACGAACGCGCGAGAGTTCGGTATCGAACATAAGTGATCGTTGTGCGTTGTGTTGTTCGTAGGCGCTCTTGAGCGTCAGGAGTCGGCGTCGTAATGCGCTGTCTCCGTTGCCAGTCAGCCATGCAGCACAGGCCTGGTCTTCTTCGCTGATGCCGTCCGACAGGTCCTCGTTGAGCACGCCCTTTTGTGTATGTGCACGCCATGGGTACCGTGACAATACACGTAGCCGCAATCCACCACTCCCGTACCGACCCTGTAATTCATCCCTCAGCAGCTGCTGACAGATGGAGTACTCTGGCAAATCACGGAACGATTTCTTTCGACCCAGCAATTCCAAAATATCGCGACACTGCCGGAAGAAACGCTCCCCCTCCTCGCGCTTTAGACGCAGCTCCAACGGCACGCGAACCACGCCCCGTAACACGCGCAACAACGGTAGACCGCGAACCGGCGACGTGCCGCTCCCCAGCAATGAACCTTTTCGCCCCAGGCACTCCTCGCTTTTGTTAAGATTGATGCACTCATCGGAGGAACGGGCCTCAGAGGAACGGGCCTCAGAGGAACGGGCCTCGGAGGAACCCCGCCGCTCGGACTGGTCGGACCGGTCAAGCGTTCCGCCTGCCGCCGCCGCTGGTTCATCACCCGGGAGTTGGAGACATTCCCTGGAGTTCTCGGACGAAGGGGCGGAGTGGTCGGCATTCGTTACCCGGCGCTCCAGCTGCGGGAGGGCCGGAGGCTCCGGAGTCTCGGTCGTCCGTTCAAGTCGCACCTCCGCCTCAGTGATTTCGAGCACCTTTTCGCAGATGAGCGAGGCCAAATTAATCAGAAAGAGATTCGTGTGCGGCCCGAAAAGACTGACGAAGATGCCCACCACTCGCTCGGAGTTGTTCTTCAACTGGCGGGAGTTGATTTCCACCTGCTCCAAGACGGTCGCTTTCTGGATCCACGCGTTATACAAAGTCGACCACTTCTCAATGCCACTTACTCGCTCCCTGGGAGTGGCTTTGCGCGTACACGTTAACACCTGAATCAATTTCACCAGCACGTACGCCGACTTGTCCACCTCCTCCGACGCACTGTCCGAGATGAACGCTATCATTTTGATCCGATCCACAATCACATTAAACTGTTCCAATAACTCTTTCGCAACCGCCGCATCCTGCATGTCTCCGTGCGAGATTGTCGCAGACATCTTGTCTGGAGGGTCGACCGCCCGACCATCCTCCTGCCCGCACGGGGGATGACGATGCTGCTGGCTGTTGCACTCTACGGTTCTTTTGTGCTGACTCACACCGTCTGTATTTGCACACACATCTTCTGTGTGTGCACACAATTCTGTGTGTGCACACAATTCTGTGTGTGCACACAGACCGGCTCTGACAGTGGGAGGGACATCAGGAACAACGTCAGGAAGCAACGAAGCCGGGTCAATCGATGAAGGGACCCTGCCACAATCCTTTATCCCTTCGTAAGAATCAACAAATTCATTTGTTGCAAAATTCTGCGTCTTCAAAAGCATATGTCTTTGATCCGGTGACAAACCGAGCAAGGTAAAGAACTCGTCCTTATGTAGATGGTGCTTGAACGCAGGAATCCGGTCAGATACCTTAACCGGTGCCGAGATGTCGCCGGCCTGAGCTTTCGTCCCCAAAAGTCTGTCGCCTTTATCAAAGTCCCCGCCATTGTGGTTCGAACCGCTTTGCTTCAAATCACCTATATTGGAACCACCATGTTGTTCAATAAGAGTGGACACCCATTGAATATTTAAATCCAGACCGAACAAGAGTATTCGCAATTCAACAATAAATGGCAAAACGGTGGCTTCCAGATACTTCTGTCTCAGCCAGTCTGTCCATAGGTATTCAATCAGCCAAACGGCTCGATTTAACAGTGACGCCTTCAGTATTTTCGAACACTCTCTAGCCACTATCATCTTCCGATCCTTTCTGGAGCCATGACATATATCAGACGACAAATTTTTATAAAGAGGAACCACCACGGTCTGCCAGTATCGGATGATATTCACTGTACTCACAATGGCTGGCTTTAGGGGTACACCACCTGAGTCTGCCACCACCTGATCGGGCGCTTGATCCATCACCCGATTTACCATATTATTGGTCGCTTGAATTCCGTCTACTTTTCCCTTCAACATTCTGCGATGATAATCCCTTATAGTCTGGGCTTGATCCGTGACAAACAGCTTCCATAAGTTATCAAAAAAGTCAAGGTAGTTCAGTTCATTCAAGCTATCGGACAAGTTGACTGACAAGTTGACTGACAAGTTGACTGACAAGTTGACTGACAAATTGGAGCATCCATCCACATAGGTCTTTGAGCTCTGGAACTCTGCCTCTGCCAATAGTCTTTTCCATCGTTTCATAACTTCGTCTTCTAATGATTACAAACCACGTCGCGGGATTTAACGAGGCTTACCACGTCCGCGTAATTCAGACGCCGCGTAATTCTTCTGGAGCGTCGAAGGAGTCGTCGACTCAACTAACAAATCAAAGTGATCTTTACCATCAACCATGGTGCGATGTTTGTCAACGGTGGAAGCAGACTATTTGCGACCTCGTCTATATACCTACTCGTAGACGAATTCAGTGTATGAGCAGGCACACAGCCAATAACCCGTTTGTACATCACTGGTCTTGATCATCGTGCCCTTGCACCATGATCTTGTACAATCCAATTCTGGCTTTATTGGTCGCCGCCTGGGAGTAAGTGCCGCCTTGCGGGGTCTGAACTAATCCACACCCATAATTCCCTGACACCCTGGGTCAACTGGGTTGCTGGAGTGGTACAAAATACCCGAGTGGTATGGTACACACACACAGCTAAAAGTCACCCTTCGTCTTCTTCAGTTATGGCAGTCCTACGGTTGTGAGCAGCGTTCCGCTGAACCCAAATTCATTGGACGGGTGCAGTCCAATGAGTACGATTACGTGTCCGCACACTCACACAGAGGGTGGCTGCAGGGTTTGGCCCCTGGTTGTTTTCCACAGAGAAGAGGGATCTTCCCAAGATTTGCGAGTGCTATGTTACGGTATCCCGTCCTACACAGCACTTCCGCGCGATATACAAATCCTTAACTCGGACGGGACAGCAATGAGAACCGGGCAAGCCCTCCTCATCGAGGAGAAATCTAACCCAAGTGGAACCAAGTCAGGAGGAGCGTTCCACATATTGCTCGCCCATAACGGTGGCTCATACATGTTTGAACTTGGTGTCAGTGTCCACAATAAAGAGCTAATGGAAAGATACCATGAAAAATCGGCGCTTAGAAATGCACTTGCCAGACTTCAACTGGCTGGACACGGAACCTCACTTATTGAACATTGCCATAATTGGTACAACCCCTTCTTGAAGCTGGCTACCGACCCATTGAAGTCAGAACTACAAGGCGAACTCACTTCGTTGATGACGCTGGGTGTCTCAGGACAGACGGTTGACGAAGTCCTTGAACAAATAAGCTCCAAGTAACTTTCGGCCCAAGGAGTTAGACAACTGAGTGCTATTCTGTTATCTCACCGACCGGTCAACCTGCCCGTTCCCCGAAGGCGGAGGCCAAATATGAACGCCAATGAAGCAGGCCGACGAAGGAGGGTAGTCGGTTCATTTAATTATGGCTTTTTCAATCCGACCTGCTACGGTCGATGACCTATTCGGTAACTCAGCCTCGCACACACTTCTAACACACATCCCATAAGACACTTAAGGCAACCCTTTGAAACGTAGCTGCCCAGGCATTAAATCTGACATGTCTGCCGGAGAACTACCAACTTAAATACTATTTCTATAAGCGGCTGTCATGGCCACAGCTCCAATTCGTCGCTGAAGATGCCCACAAGAACCCAGTCGGTTATACTCTTGGCAAAATGTAGGTATCCAAAACAAAATAAAGTCCCTATCCCTTTCAATCAAAGTCCCTCCCTCCATTCGAAGATTAATGTATTGTAGTGAGACCGAGGAAGAAGGCGATAAGTCGTCAGTTGGTCACATAACCAGTTTGGGCGTGCTGCGGACTCATCGACAAGCCGGATTGGCGAAGATGCTAATGAATGTGGCCCGTAAGCATCAACTACGTCGCAGCTAATCGGATGACACACAGTACTACACAGTTTGGTGTAGTACACAGTTTGGTGTAGTACACAGTTTGGTGTAGTACACAGTTTCGAAGGGCGTCATGGATTTCCGCTCCTTTCAGACAATACAATGGTGGACACGTTCGACGTGAAGAAATCATCATTACATGTACGGGTTACGAATCTGTCGGCGTTCAGCTTGTACTGCAATGTGCTAGGCTACCAGTAAGACCTTCATCCGAGAGGGGGGCGGGTCCATGTTGAAAATGGTGCAGTGTTCGGCGATGTTATCGGACAGTGGTGTTCGGGGTTGTGACTTTGTGTGTATATTGCAGGGTTGATAAATGCGAAGTGGGGTACTATGAGAATAATGAAGATGCGTTCAGTATGCGGAAAGTATTGCAGGCACCGGTTAGCAGACCGACTGCTACTACCACCACCCGTGTAAAGAAGGGCAAAAAGGACAAGGGTAAAAAGAGGCGATAAATATTCTTCGATGAGTGAGGTGTGACGAACCGGGTCTTTGTTTGGACCTTTTGTTTGGAGTCTTGAAATATGGTCAATGCAATAGGTGGGTAGGTAAGAGGTCCACGTTGTGGTAAGAGGTCCACGTTGTGATCATTTTGTTTTTGATTTTTAAAAATGGATTACGTGGACGCCTATGAGCAGGAACAAATTACGTTCGAGGCCAAGTCCAAGGCTCCGGCTGACCTCGATGCTTTGGTGAAGTCAAATGCGTTCAAAACAGGAACGACTATTTGCGGTGTTATTGCAAAGGATTGCGTCGTACTGGCCGCCGATATGAGGGCCACCATGGGCTCTACAGTCTCAGATAAACACTGTTTCAAACTCCACCGAATATACTGCAACCTCTGGTGTGCGGGAGCCGGAGTTGCTGCCGACCTCGACCACATTACCATGAACCTTTCCGCAGAACTCCACGTCTTCGCCCGGCAGATTGGCTCACTACCAAGAGTCGAAACATGTGTCACAAGACTCTGCAACCAACTGTTCAAGTACCAAGGCTTCCTCAAAACCGCCCTTATCGTCGGCGGTGTAAACCCCACAGGTAACAATATGCCACTTGTGTTTATGCTACCTGTGTTTATGCTACTTGTGTTTATGCTACTGCTTCTTGAGCCGCATATTCTAGCGCTATGGTTCACGTGAATGTTGTAGGTGAAATGTCGTTGTGGTATGTCTCGCCGGATGGATATTCGCACTCCTTGCCGTACATGGCCATGGGCAGTGGTGGTCTCTACGCGAACTCGATGCTGGAGGCGGGGTATAAAAAGGACATGGATAGAGAACAGGCGAAGGAACTCTGTGCAGATGCAATTCAGGCTGGCGTCATGAACGACTTGGCGTCGGGCACAGGAGTGAATCTGGTGGTTCTGAGTTTGAACGACCCCTGGAACCCCGTGCTGACACGCAAGTACCGAATGCCGGTGCTCGGGGACAAGGTACCTTACACGAGACCGCCATTTACCCTCGGCCAGACAAAGGTGCTGAAGGAAATAGTCAGAGAGATCAGGCCTTTCAAGCCTGACCAGATCTGCGAGTTCCTCAGCTAACTGCGAGTTGAGAACTGGCTGGCTGGCTAACTGCATATGGCGAAAAGGTAAAGGAACACGAAAGTCCAGACCTCGGCATTGCGGGACTGATATCCACGTACGGAACAACAACACTGGCTCAATTGACCCCGGCCTCGGCACCGGGCTTGACCGAACGAATGCTTGATCGACAAGCCGCAACGGATGTTTTTTATTCCGATAGAATCAGAGCAAAATCCGCGACCGTGTTTTTCTACCAGTCAATCAAAATGGCAAGTCACCCCGTGCTTCTCGACGACCGAAACATTTTGGTTAGTGGTTTATCGCCCCACGTCACGATCGAACATCTTGGCGAAATATTCGCCTGCTTCGGAACCGTGATCAAAGTTGCGCCAGTGAGGGTAAGCGTAATGATACACTGTGCATAAATGACGACACGTGTCCACACACGCATGAACCATGGCTGCAGATTCCGCGTCTAGTCGCCATGGTAGTAACCATGGCCTCGGCCGCAGAAGCGAAGGAAGCGGCCTTTTCCATGGACAAAGGCCAAGTAGATGGCAAGGTCTTGTGGGCAGCCTCTGTCTTCGGCAGCAGAGACCGATGTAAGCGGCTGCTGTTCAATGCGGAGCCTCCTCGAGATGCTCCAGACTAGCCTTCTCCAGATGGCCTCTTAGACTGCGGCGGCTTCTACCTCAGGAACTCCGCAAGTTGGACGCGAGGCTTGACTGTCAATGTGCTGTTGATCTCTTTAACGAATTGATGGTTGTACAAGAAGTCGCAAGACGGTCTCGACACCGGGTCCTGCAGCGAGAGACATGATCCCCGGGCAAGTGAGCAACTTGCTCACCATGGTTGTCGTGTTAAGGGGCTGTCGATATAGTGTTTGTCCAGGATGTTGCCCTTCCCGATTGACTTACGGGATTCAGTAGGGCCGCAATGATTTGTCGCATCGGTACTGGTCTTTCTGCCTTGTGGGTCTCGGTAAAGGGAATGTCGGCGGGGGAGAGTTGAGTGCCTGTGAGTTTCGCCTTGAAGGCCAATAATTGCTTCCGCACACCATCCGGTCCTTCTTCCCCTTCGCCAAACGGCAATGCGCCATAGGCTAGATAATACAGCACCCAGCCCAGCGACCACATGTCGCTCTTGTAATCGTAATTGTGGGTGTAGCAGCCCTAAGCACACGTGTGCGCTCAAGTGTGTGTCGACCGAAGTGTATGTTTGGTCAAGTGTATGTTTGGTCAAGTGTATGTTTGGTCAAGTGTATGTTTGGTCAAGTGTGTGTTCGCCAAAGTGTATACGTACCATGTCGTCTTGTTCGAGGAGTTCGGGTGCCGTGTACTCTACAGTCCCGGTGAAGCCGAGTCCGCTTCGACTGCCAGTTTTTACATACTCCGCAGTACCAAAGTCGGCTAGGAGAGCGTGGCAAGTGTGGCAAGTTCCATAGTACTCAAGGCCATCGGCATCTTCGGTTTTGAGCATGATATTGGAGGGTTTCAGGTCACGATGGATGACGCCAGTATGATGTAAATGTTGAAGGCCGCAGAGGACATCTAGGAATAAGACCCAGACCATCTCGTCAGTCAGTCCATCTCCGATAGCTTCTATTAATTCTTCGAGGTCTCCGCCGTTGCAGTATTCCATGAGGACGAATAGCCAGGGTACTTCGGGAGCATTAATTGCTTGACCCTTAACCAGCTCCAGCCAAGAGTGCTTGTAGGAGACAATATTGTGATGGTTTAGGCCCTCTCTCATTTTGACTTCGCGAATAACCTTATGTAACCATTGTCGGCTATCCCCCACTGGAATCTTCTTCACTGCATAAGCACCCAGGGTCAGGTCATCCAGCTTATGCTGACACAAATATACTTGCCCATACGCACCGGAACCCAACTTTCGGGTCTCTACGAAGAATGTCTCGTAGTACTTATCCACCAAAAGATGCTTGGGAATGTTTCTCAGGTTTTGGTCCTCCTGCGTCGCAGAACTCATAAAAGGGTTCGTTAGGTCACTCATGTCCGAAGGTAATAGATGCATCGAATTACGGTGACCACTTTTTGCCCCATGTTTGTGAGTCTCCCGCCACGTCTTAAGTGCCTCCTGAAGCAACGCAAAATACGCCTTGGCCTCGTAACTCAACGAATCCAGGTCTACTTGCTGACCACATAACGGACAATCAGATACAATCCTGCACGGCGCACGTCGGAATGGGAGAGTGGCCCTAGCCAGTGACCCTAGCCAGTGACCCTAGCCAGTGACACCATACACACTTAATCCCGTACGCGCTTAATCCCGTACGTGCTTAATCCCGTACGTGCCGGCTATCCAGCACACGTGTGTGCACACACCGGCTTGAACGTTCTTACGGCGCAAAATTCACCTTTCCCTTAACGGTGATAGTGTCATCTCTTTTATTGTACGTTACGATACTTCGGTCGCGGTACCGCACTATAATCCCCTCTTGGCGGCCGCTCCTCTCTGATAAGTTTTGTAGCACGAAAGGGATCAACGGATGGTCCATTTAAGTGCAAGAAAAACATTGTACCTCCCAACGCGCCATTTCGCCGACGAACCACTTGACGTCGATTAGGAAGAGCTTGATACATTCTGTCCACCTAAAAGACGGGCGGACATGGCGGCGGCCACGACTGGTGGGACGACCCGACCCGGAACGGTTTACTCACTCATACTCGTTGTTGCCATATCGAATGGAAATGCCTCTCACATAACCTTCTTCTGTAACCCTGAACAGTATGAGGTTGAAAACAGCAATAGTGCCCGCAACATAACTCAGCGACTACACCAGTGCTGTGCGCAGGGATTGTCCATCTGACGTCCAATGGAGGGACTCCAATGGAGGGATGTTCCGGTGGTCCTCTGGCGGGAGCGTCGGTGGGTGCTGCTGTGCTCACCGGAAAGGTTCTTCTCCTAGATCCTTGAATAAATGTTTCCTCATGATTTGAACTACATCCTAGCGAGAAATGATGCCGGGTGTGTTGGGGGAGGAGCTTACTCTGTATATCTCTAACAGGCCAACCAAAGCTACATCGAATTTGGGTACGTGAAAGTATGGCATCAGGAGACCATCCACAATATTGAGAGGATACTCAGTCTGGTCGTCGCCCTGAGAGAAAACGTCCATCAGCGAAGGCGGGGGGAAGTATCCTGGGGAAGAACCCCGGGGAAGAACTCTGGGGGGGAAGGGCTTACGTCTATGGTTATGGCTGACTGTCGTCCGCGTGCTAGAATTGCATGGCAGGCTCCTCGGGGAATATGGAGATCCTTCGCGAAGGAAAACACGCGTCTCCGGATAGTTGACACTAACAACGCCAGGTAGCCGAGTCCGGTGTTGATTTCCTCCGAGGATACCCAGCTGTTCGGCCGTCGGCCGATACGGCAACCATTGATGACTCCATAGTCGTCAAACACTCTTAATGAAAGGTGTGAACAGGCAGAGTGTGTGAAGCCGGGAGGGTGATGTGAAGCCGGCAGGGTGATGTGAAGCCGGCGTACGAGATGTAGAAGCATGTGTCCAGTAGCACGATTTTGGTCCTTTCATATTTTCGACACAGGCTGTCCATTTTCACAGCACACGTCTCGTTTTCGTGCAGTCGCTGTCTATTAATGTTCAAGATACGGCGTGTGCGAATGTTCCTCTCTACTGCCTTGCTCCATTGCACCGCCTCCGCATTCTCCGTGTCAACTCCTGCTTCCGATTCTTTACTGACTGCGCATAACCGAGAATACTGCCCGGGGTCTAACCAATCCACCACTTCAATGTTTTGGGGAAGAGGTTCCTGAAGGGCGGCGAGAATACTACCCTCGTGTTTCTGAAGCTCTTCCAGCGACGCAGACAGTTGCAGCAGGCACTCGTCACATAACTGCTCCAGCAATCTATGTTTGCAACACTGATCAAGCATTCATGAATGGTGTGCGGCTCAGTTTTTTTTCGCCGATTGTGAATATCTCAAGATGAAGTTCAGACTCGTAAATGCCCGGGCTCCCGTAGCACTTCTCTCTGTATCTAGCGATAGGCCGGCCGGAACCCGGTCCAATTTCTGGCCACTTTCCTTGCGCATTTATTCCCCTCCTTCTTGCTACCTCTCCTGATCCCTCCCTCCTTCTTATCGTAATGTTTAGGCTGCCTTATTTGGTTTGGTTGCTTGTGAGAAGCAGTTGAAGCCGACCAAGTCTTTGGCGGATGGTGAGGTGAGTAAGGTGGTGAAGTTGGACGTATCGTTGACAAGCGACGGGGAGACGACGGACTTGGGAACGATTTCTCTCGGTTTGTTCGGGAACGAGTTGCCGAAGACTGCGGAGAACTTCGAGTGGGCATGTCGTAACCATTACTCGGATACGGTGTTGCATCGCGTGATCCAAGGCTTCATGGCACAGGGAGGCGACTTTACTCGTCACAATGGCACTGGGGGGCGCTCCAAGTTTGGCGAAATGTTCGCTGACGAGAGTTTTATTTACCTCCACGACTACCCCGGTGCCCTCTCAATGGCTAACCGCGGACCTGACACAAACGGTTCCCAGTTCTTTATGACCTTCACAAAAACGCCCTGGCTCGACGGCGGTCATGTCGTCTTCGGATGCGTTACTGATGGTATGTCTACCCTCACCAAAATCGAAGCGCGCGGCTCTCGATCCGGCAAGACCGACGGCAAACTCACCATCAAGTCCTGCTCCGTCGAAGCCGCACCCAGCAACGCTCGTTGCAGCGTCCCCCGCGCCACCAAAAGCGACCTCTAAACGGGCACCGCTCCGCTCGCATGGAAAGGGGACGATGGGAATCCCGACGGTCACTCGAAAGACCGAAACAGAGAGGTTCTGTACGCAGGGTCCGTTTTGGTCTGACGATTTTGGGACGATTTGTTGGTCGTATTTTATTTCCGTAACTTTATTCCTGAACCAGGATTGCTGCCTGAGAATTGTTGGTCAGAAACAGCCACGGCGCGATAATTCCTGATAGAAGTGGTTGGTCAGAACTGCGGCGTTCCGAAAGATGACATGGGAGTCAAACGGCGGTTGGCAGCTTCGGCACGGGTGAAGAAGAGCCGGAAAGGGGGCGAGACGAGGTCGTGTATCGTGTGCGGTGGCGGTGGCGTGTTCGAATACCGGCCTGACTTGCGATTCGCCCCGTCCGAGTTGCCACCTGAGTTACTGTCCACCCTCGCCACACCCACACAGTACTACTGCCCGCTGTGTCAGCCGGATGCACACGGGATAAAACGCGAACATGGTGGGGGTCCTAACGCTCTGCCTGCGGGTGCTATGAAGTCCAAGAGTGCGTGTCTGTTTGCCACACTCGTCAACTCAGGAATCGATCCCTACGTGGCACTCGACGTCCAGGACTCAGCCACTGGCACACTCGATAGCATCAGCGCCGCGGAAGCCATCATGACCGAACGAGCAAACACGGCTTTGTTGGTACCGTTACCCTGCCCCACCCCCTTACCACCCACCTCCTGCCTTACCCCCTGACCCCCCCTGCCCTATCACCTACCACAACCCGGTGTAAGAAATCGTGACTGGCTGGACACTTCAGGGCCTGGCTCAGAATCTGAGCAGGGAATTCGGACAACCTGAGAAACCTGAAAGGGAGCCCACTGCCATGTTGGAGACTATCACTAGCCTCAATACGTTACCGATAGTTAGAGAGGCATGCAAAGACGTGCGCACAGTAAGCACGACGTACGATTAAGCGGGCAGAAAACTCCGACCAGTACGAGTGGTTGATTACACTATGAGTGGTTGGTTACATTACGACGGTGATTGCAGGCTGCGTGGTTGAAACTCGCTTTTCAAGCTACTCAGTGGTATCCGGACGGCTCGAAGGTGTACGAGAGTATGGTTCGAGACGAGCTTGGCAAGCTCTCGTCGGTTGCTGAGGTGGTAGAGTACCTGGAAGACGAAGGGCGGCTTCTGGAACAAGGACTGCTCCTGGACACTTACCACTCCAGCCTCGCTTGTCCACCGGTGTTGTTGCGGGGCGGTACTGCACAGGGAGAGACCGCAGAGGATGAAGAAGTGACGGAATTCATTATCACAACGTCAGAACCCAACGGTGTGATTACGTTAGATGACTCGACTCTGTGATGGGTCTCGGACGTTTGATGGTTACTATGGCTGTGGTTTGTCCCCTGCCGTCTACCTACCTCTTTATCTCATATACCCTCCATACGTGTAACCCCTGTCCCTTCCACGTCCATTTTACGTATCCCTGGTCCCAGTATTACGGTATTGGAGTGTGAGATTGTCCTGATTGCATTTAGTCTATGGCACGATTCGAAGCACGTCTATCTGTAGTCTAGTGGCGATAGCAGTCTTTTCCGGTGCAGGTAACGGTGACCTGCACTTGGGGAGGGACGGTTTCGCTGCCAAGGCACATGGTGCCAGAGACCTGTTGGCCGGGCGGGCATCTGGGTTGAGGTCCGCCAAGGATTTGGATGCACTGTCCGTTGGGTGCGAGAATGGAGCCCTCGGCGCAGGCGACGGCGCGGGGTGAGACGGTAGTCTTGACACACATGTCTCCGAGGAGGTTGTAGCCCTGGGGGCATCTCAGTGTGCTGGGAGCGGGTGAAGCGGGGAAGCAGAGGTAGGACTCGCCAAGAGAGCAAGCAACGGCGGATGGTTCCACGTGCTTGGTGGCGCAGCCAGTCGCATGGTGAGCGACAGTGCCGGCGGGGCAGTTGGCTTCGTTGTTGACGGCAGCCTCGAGTTTGACTTCGCACTGCTTTTGGGTCACAGCCAACTTGGCGGGCGTAGGCACGTACTTGGGCGCGGTAGCGGGCTCAAGATGGGCGGCCAGATACGGCGCAGCGAGGTTGACAGTGCCCTTGCCGTGCGTCGGCATGGCTCCCTTGGCCTGCAACAGTCTCTTGCCTTGGTGAGGCGGCGTGCAGTCCATCTGCGCAGTCTTGTAGCAACTGCCCTTCTGCTCGGTGTAACCAGCTGGGCACCTCTTGCCCTTGAGCTGCGCAACCGGCTCGTAGGTGACACACTCACCGTTGATCAGCTCGCCCGTCTGGCAGACCTCCACGATGCCTGTCACGCCGTACGTCTGGCACTCACCACCGATATCGTGCGTGTTCGGCGGGCACACACGCTCCGCAGGCGTCTGCGAACGCGATTGGCAACCGCCCGCCACCGGGGTCGTGCCCACGGGACAGTGCGAGTCCTTCTGGCCCGGCGCTATGCATTGGCCGTTCTCCAACACACCCACGGGACAGAAGAGCGACGCCGGGGACGACACCTGGCGACGGCAGGTCTTGCCGTTCAACGTGAAGCCGGCCGGGCACGAGTACACGGGATCCGTGGTCGCGCTCTTCTGCGAGGCAGCAATGCCAACAAAAGCCAAAGTGACGAACGATCTCATCTGTGCTCGGTCTCCGCTCGGAGGTGCGTGTGTGCGCACACACTCCCAGGTGCACAATGTCTTTTGGGACAACACGCACCCTACCGCCGCCGCCGGTACTCGCCCGCACGATAAGTCGGCGCCACCGGTGGCAGTGACGCGTGCGTACGCGCCACCAGCGCCTTCGCTGTCGAGTCCGCCCCAGCGGTCTTGGTCGCCGGGGACTCGGCCGTCGGGGTCTTGGTCGCCGGGGTCTTGGCCTCGGTGATCGAAGACCCCCGACGTTTGGTCGCTGGGGCTTCCGAAAACGCATCAGTCCCTCGAGTCAATGGACCAGTTACCGACCTGTAAGGCACCGGGGCTGGTTCTAGGGCTTCCGGGAGCGGACGAGCCACTGAAGTCTTCGCGTCTGCCGACGGTTGAGCTGTTCGTAGTGCCGGGGGCGTTTGAATCAACGGAGCAGTAACCGAGCGGTAAGGCGACGGGACTGGGGCTAGCGGAAGCGGGTGAGACGCTCCAGTCGCCGCGGCTACCACCTTGGTCACTGGGGCTTCCGGGAGCGGGTGAGACACTGAGGTCTTCGCGTCTGCCGGCGGAGATGCTTGGGACACTCGTAATGCCGGGAACGCTTCTGTCATTTGAGTCAATGGAGAAGTTACCGGCCAGAAAGGCACCGGGGCTGGTTCTAGCGGGACTGGGTGAGTCGCTTCGGTCACCGGGACTTCCGGAAGCGAGTGAGCCACTGAGGTCTGGCCACCTGCCGACGGAGATGCTCGAGGTGTTCGTAATGCCAGGGGCGTTAGGGTCACTTGGATCAATGGAGCAGCACCCGACCCGTAAGGCAACGGGTCTGTGACTGGGTGAGGCACTTTGGTCACTGGGCTTTCCGGGTGAGGCGCTTTGGTCACCAGGGCTTCCGGGAGCGGGTGAGTCCCCGGGGGTGCTGGCCAACAGAGGGGTGGTGGCCAATAGAGAGGTGCCCGAGTCTCTCGGGCTACCGCCAGCGCGTGAGCCGCTTGAATCTCTGGACGTATTTGCCATGAGTGAATTTCTCGGGCCAGTGGTGCTATCGCAAAAGGGTGAGGCGCCCACATCCCTGGGGGTGCTGGCGACGAGTGAGAAGCTCGAGACGCTGAGACCACCGAGAGCGGGTGCGTGACCTGACTCCCTAAGACTACCGGCGGCACGTGAACTGCTTGAAAATCTGTACACATCTGCCATGGCTGAGGTCCCTGGGTCACTGGAGCCGCCGGAAAAGAGTGAGGCAACCGCATCCCTGGGGATGTTGAGAACGACTGAGGATCTACGGGCTTGGGTGCTATGGTCGTGGGCTTGGGTGCTATGGTCGTGGGCTTGAGTGCTATGGTCATGGGCTTAGGTGCTATGGTCGTGGGCTTGAGTGTTATGGTCGTGGGCTTGAGTGCTATGGTCGTGGGTGCTTCGGGCCTGGATGCCTTGGATCTAGGTATTTCGGTAGCTGTTTTAGTTGTAGTTTTGTTACACGGTTTAGCATAGTGCCTGGAGGTTCGCTTTTGCTTTTTTCGGGGGGGACACTGAGGTTCATCCAGGAACCCGGTTTCTTGTTGAATCATAGCTTCGGGTTGCATCGCTACGGGTTGCATCGCTACGGGTTGCATTGCTCCATGGTCGGCTTTGGCTTTGGCTTTTTCGGCGCGGACGTGGAGCAGCAGATTGCCATAGATGGCTTGCTTACTATGGGCGACTGCGCGGAAGACGGTTCCGAAGGTGTGTGCGGAGACGTAGACGGGGTGTAGGTGGCTACTGAGCCTGGTTGTGCATATGTTTTCGTTTAGTGGAGGTCTACAGTCGTAATCTTCGAAGCGAGCGAATGCCTTGCGTAGGCACTCAAGGTCTAGACGACCGGGTCTAAACTGGAGTGTGTGTATGCAGAAACGGACGAGAGTATCGATGTCAACTTGCGAGTGTTCGAGTAGACAGGCGCTGACCCAGAGCATACGCGTATCAACGCAGGCCGTCCTGTACAGTGCGTTGAGGCCGCCGAGTTTCTCTACAATAAAATCGTGCGTGCTCGGATTTATTTCTCCCAGAGGTGCGTGGTAGAATTCGCATAATATGGCTGCCAGTTCCAAGTAATCAAGACGGCAGCAATCAAAGTCGCAGAGCCGGATACCCTTCAGTCGTTTCCACTGCTCGGGCGTCAAGAGACCACGCAACTTCGTATGTGCCTCCAAATCTGATTCAAACACACCGGTACGGTCCGTAAGCCGCTTCGTGAACCCGGGGGTTGGCAAATACAGCGGCTCCCAGATCCCATCCACCGGGGACATCTGCAACGTCCACGTATCGTTCTGCGTTGTGCCCTCCTGCGTCGTGCCGTCCAGCGTCGTGCCGCCCTCCAAGGTACCATTCCGAATGCCGTCCTGCGTGGTAGTATTTTTCGGAGTGGTCAGCTTTGGAGTGGCGTGCAACAACTCCCCCAGTAACGGCTTTGAATATCGCATCCAATGCACATGTCTCGACTGCCGAGTCACGCCCAGTCCATTCAACGCCTTGAACCACTCCGCGTCCGCCGCCAACCAGTACTGATGCAACCAGTCCGCCTGCCGTGCCACATCCGGAGGCCACATATTCGCGCTATCCACCACCACGGCAACCGAACCGGCCACCGGTGAAACATTTTCCGGAACATCCTCTTCCAAAGCGTTTCCCCCAGGTGCAGTCCCGTCCGCGACATACAACCCCAAAGCTACCGCACGCAACCACACCTCTCTCTCCACTGCTACCGGACCTCGCATCTACACCACAAATTAATTTTACCCTCTTTACCGCCGTTCGTCTTTACCATCGTTCACCGTTCGCCGAACCTGTCGCCCGGGCATGACAACAGGTTCAGACCTCTCCAAGCACGCCATCTAACGTCGAGGAACGTCTAACAAGTTCCTTCCAGTGCTCGAGTCGCGCACGTGTGTCTGTTCCTGCCCCCAGCGCTTGTCAATAACTTGTGTTCTCAAATAGGCCGCTCACGACCCGTTCATCCAGGTCTTCATGAGCCCTGTTGCGTGCGTGATCACAGTTTGATAGTTGCTCATCGTTGCACAAAATTGGATTGGTGCTCAGCTTTGCACAAGATTATTTTTCGCATTTAACGCAAGGAAAATTTGACATTTCGCACGACACTTGGGCACGTTCCACTGGTATCGATTCAGCTTAACGTCTCTGGCCATCAACTGCAAACTCATCGGTCTAGCGTGTTGTTTCTGCCACACCCGCGCGCCGTTTCCGCCACACCCGTATGTTGTTTCCGCCACACCCGTGTGTTGTTTCCGCTACACCCGTTTCGCTCTTACTTTGTATTTGTCGCCGTATTTTGCCACCAGCCTCCTACAGACATCCTTGTCGCTCTCACTCAGACTTAACTCTTTCTCAGTCACATGCTTCTTGGGGAGTGCGTCTTTGATGCTGTTGAAAGACACATTCTTCAAGTTCTCTGTTACAGACTTGGAGTCGTCCCACAGACCTTTGAAAGGTGTATTCGACAAGAAACTCCCGATCGGGTACACTCGACCTCGTTTCAACTTCACGTGCTGCTTCTTGATATAAGTGGTGTTCCTCTCCACCATTGTGGGTATTATTAAATCGAAAAATGGCGGCCTAAAATCCCGGCCGGGTTAGATATATCTCCCCACGGTCTCCTTATCTCATAAAAATCAAATACGGCCGCGAATCCGATAACAAGGTGACCGCAAATCTTTTCTGTGCTCTTTCTTCGTACGACTGGCGTATTAGGTCCAACGGATCGGTGCCTACCATATTGAGTCTACCAGGTCGGGTGTGTTGCATGACCCGGATTTAAATGAAACATAGCTACGCTGAGCAGTGTCGGATATTGGTCCAAAACGGGGGGTGTTTACTGAAACAAGCCGAATGGGTTGAGCCTGAATTTGAACGTCACAAATGGACTACAGTAAGTTTATTGGTACGTGTTGATCACTACCAACCACCACAAGTGGGTAATCACATGAATGGACAACCACGGATAAGCGGGTAACATGTCGTTTTGAAATGTAGCGCGTGACGCTGTTGTTGGCAAGTGCAAGTAATCTTTCGAGATGTCACCGTAAGATTCTTGTGATAATTACTATCTTCTTCTTTGCACAGCAATAACTGAAGAAGACGGAGATCTGTTTCTGGCGTTGGAGGCGTGCGCGGAGAGACTCGCGGGCGAGTATCAATGGAGACACTTCCTTGCGGACGAGGTAGGCCCGTTACCGGATGCGAGCGTTAAACCCTGTTGTTCATCCGGCAGCGCGGATGATTGCGGCGCGATGAGTACTGCGACATCCTCCACGCTGACAAGTCAGAACGAAGTTCCTGCTCAGATGGCCTCCGTTCCTGATGAGATCGACACCATTCCCGCTGAAATAGCCACAATTCCCGATGAGTGGGACAAAATCAGCGATGAGGTTGACAATATCTTCGACGAGGAGGAGGAGGAGGAGGACACAATCTCCAATGGGGAGCACACAATCTCCGATGAGGAGAAGTCTGGTTCACCGCCACGACTATTTAGGTGCCTGTGCTGGTCCGTCGCGCTTTTTATGGACTGCCGAATGCTCCACCGGATCATGTATCAGATGATCAATGGGCCGTACGACCCATTGGACACTAGGTACGCACCGAACCCCTTCATCAACCAGACGGAAAGTTCTGGTTGCCGTGAGCCAATTTGGCACCAGAACATGCCGACTGTCGGGCTCGACCATCGCTGTCTGGACCCCGTTGTCGAGTTCCGTCAGCTTGACTCGTACTCAGTTGATGGAATGCAGACCACCAGCGGGTCCAACAGGTGGCCAGATACCGATGACAGCTGGTTGCATAAGGACGACAGGTGGCCAGAGACCAACAGTCGGCCAGCAGTTTCGGACGGTCATATATCCCGCCCTTGGACGTGTAACCCCCATCTACCCGTCTCACTTCTCGACCCGGAATCCCGGCAGTTGGCGCCCGTCCATTCTGTGTGCAGAATTGACTGGTGCCAAGCGGGGTGGTGGTGCCGAACTGAGTGGACTGGCCTTGGGGATGATGAGCTCGCGGTTACGGCAGTGCTGGATGTTTCAGAACCGCTTGGTGACAGTGAAACCGAGGAGGCTGAGGCTCTGGACCCCCCAGTTGCGGAAGGACTTAGAGCCGCTGACGACGATCGCCGACACGTGGCAGGACCGCTGGACGAGGACCTGGACATCGCCGGACCGCCTTCGCTGACTGGAGTACCAGACCCAAGTGGAGGGCCCAAGTCGAGGTCAGAACCAACGTCAGAGTCGGAGCCTGGCGAGGTGGCATGTCGGGACCTGGCCGACCCATCTGTGATGGAGGAGCGTTCTATGGTCGAGGAGGGCTCTATGATCGAGGAGGGCTATGTGGCCGAAGACCAGGTGATGGGCTTTGAAGGGCCACCGGAGGAATACGGGGAGGATCAGGTGGAGCATGCAAAAGAAGGCATGGAGCTCATTGAGTACGAAGGCGGAATTCATGAGGACAATCTTCGGGAGAAGAGTTCTCACAAAAACGGGCTGGAAGGAGACGAACTTGTGGGCAACGAAACCAAGAGCAAGGGAACCGACGGACTTGAGGACAGTGATCCTGCTGAGAACGCATATGATGACTGGCCGGTACCGCAGGCGATTTTACCTCTTTGTGTGGAGGACCGGATTCCGATCGACCCACTTTATCTCCTGGAGGACCAAGGGGCAGTCTCGAAGGAAGCATCGTCGGAGGAAGCATCGTCGGAGAAAGCACCGTCGGAGAAAGCACCGTCGGAGGAAACATGGCCTCTTCTCGGTGAGGCATTGTTTCAGGACCCCGGTGAGGGACCGCAGCAGGACATGGGGCCGGAGATGGAAGGTGAGGGGTTGGGCGGATATCTTGAGGTAGCTACGCAGACCGGTCAACCTCAGGAGTCGGATCAGCGTGAAGACTCAGATGAGGAGTTGAACTTAGGAATGGCGGACCCGCTCCAGGCCGGGGATGCTACGCAGACCGGGGACGTCGTCGAGCTGATACATGTGGCCGCTCCTCTTGCTGAAGTGTATGGTGTTGATTGTTGTGGCGAAGTTGAAGCTTGTTCTGGTGAAGCTGGTGAAGGTGAGGAGATGGCTCAAGAGGCCCGTCCTCCCGAAGAGATCTTCGCGGCGGAAGTCGTGGAAACTCCAGCGTCGTGTCGCGGATCGGACCTCAGTACTTGTTCCGGCGACTGGCCCCGGGAAGGCCTGGGGTGGTTGGAATCTTGGTTGGAAGGGTGGGTGGAGTTAGCGCGAACGGCTAAGGGCGCGGGGGCTCAGTCCTCAGAGCCAGACTTGGGTGCGTTGGGTGTTGTAGCGAGTCTCTTGTACGTGGTCGCCGGCGCCGTTTGGCCGTCGATAGGTCCTCTAACGTTTTTCAGCTAATGGCGGAAAGCAGAAGGGCGATTATTTTCGGATTCAGGGAATTGCCCAAGAGCTGGTACTTCTTAACTGTCCTCAAGCCTTCCGGCCACACCAATGGCTCAGTCCCTTCCGGCCACGATGGCTCTCTTCCGCCGGTCACTTCTCTACCACCGGCCACTTCTCTGCCGCCAGTCGCTCCTCCACGACAGCAACCAGATTTCACAGAAGCCGTATGGTATCCCATAAGGCGTGCTACTTCATTTGGTGAAAAGAAACGGAGCCGTCCGTTATCCCAGAGAATGCTGCCGGTCCCCCGGACGTATCTACCGTACGCTTTGGTGAAGCAGACGGTGTAATGCCGAGGGACGGGCACGATAACTGTCTGTGCCGGTTGCTTGGGAGAGCCAGGCAGAGTCGCCGGGTGATCCAGAGGCAACACAACGGGCGCAGGCCGCACTAGACATTTCATATCATTCGGCAGCTCCTGCAGTTCATTGGGATGCTTGTTGATATAGATGTCTGCCGCTTCCAGCCCGTTCAGAAGAGCAACGGGGATAGTGGTGGTGTTTTCGGAAGAAGAGATGGCTCCCTCAAGGGGGTTGCACAAGTATTGGTTGGGTGGGTCGAGTAGAGCCTCGACCGGGGTTAGGAACTTGGCCCTGATGGATGGCCAGTCGAGGTTGAGAGGTCGCGCGTCGAGTCGTGCGACGGCGTAGAACCGCTTACGGTTATTGGGGACCCCGCTGTCCAGCGTAGAGACGACTAGTGTTTGGGTTTGGTAGCCTGCCCGTCTGAGGGCTGGTAAGCACAGGTCGTTCCAGGTTTGGCTGCCGAGGAAGGGCGGGACGTTCTCGATAACTATTGTTTTGGGCTTGTTAGTTAGAGCTTCTAAGACCTGCATGAGGTGCTTCAGAGGCTGCGTGCGCGCATCCTCGAGGTCGCGCTGGTTCCCTTGTCGACTGTATGGCTGACAGGGCGGTGACATGCACCAGATGTCGCACGCGTTTGCTTCGAACCACGATTTGGGCATACTCGTAATGTCTTTGGCCAAAACACAAGAGAACAAGGGAGAACGGTCTGCGTTATGTCTGTATACCGCGTTAGCCACTGGGTTTATTTCCACTGCCAAGTGGTGAGCTCGAATTCCTGCATAACTGAAGCCATAGCGGTACCCCCCGATACCGGAAAACAATTCCAAGACCGTTTTCGCATCGCGGCCCGCGGCTTCGCACGCCGCAACCGATTCCCAAAACTGGACAAGAGTCCCACACGTCGGCATTGCCTCTCTCTCTCTCCACAATTTTTATGGGAGTCGAAGCGGGCCACGAACGCGGGGGGCAAGCAATTCAGAGGCTGTATGTCACAAAGCGCAAGACCAAGGAACTCAGAGAGCTACTGGCAACATGCGAGAAACTTGTCAGGTACGTTGGCGGGGCAGGCATTCAAAAATGGACATAGTAAGTAGTGTGACGGTAGAATGGTCTATCTTCAGGTTGAATATGAGTGAGCTTTACGAGCGCAATCAGTGGAAGAATATGTACAGCGACAAAATGGGGTATTGTACCAATTCGAAGTTGAAGGAGTTGCAGCAGCCCGGGATTCTTTACTTTGTTAGAAACAACGAACCCGCTGGACAGGAGGACGTGGCCGGGTTCCTCAAGCTTGACCTGGCCGATGACGCTTTCGTAATGGAGTTACAGGTGCAGCCATGCGCCCAGTCGCGGGGCATTGGTTCACAACTTCTGAAATCCGCTTTTAATGACGTTCAGGCAGCCGGATACAAAGCTCTAAATTTGTGTGTACAAAGAGGTAAGCAAGCCAGCACAAAGCCAGCATGCTGATGGCCCGGATTCCTCTAGCTTCCTATTGGTCGCCAGGGCGGGTCATTTCTCAGACAACGTACGTCTCTCCGATCTCATGTAGGTAATGACAGGGCGCTGAACTTCTACACAAACAAAATGGGGTTTAAGATAACTGACGAATTTCCAAGTTATTATCTCCTCTCTCATGACATCAATTAGCGTTGCTCGTGCAGTCAATGACCAGAGACACAGGAGGCCGCATGTCCTCCACTGTCCTTTGCTTACATTAACGCCAGTCAAACCCTACAGTCAGCCAACTAGCTTCTACACAGGGGCTCATTCGCGTAGAACATGAGAGATTGAAAGCTGATTCGGGTAAGTTGATTTGGAATGGACCCGCGAACAATCACGGGCTTGTAAGGCCGAATTTTTTATATTATGTAGATGGAATACCGATTCAGGAAAAGGCGGTTGTTCTCAGTCGTAGCAGTCTCCCTTCTTCATTTCTCGATCTTACTGGCCCTGGGTTGGGCGAGTCAAACTCTGAGGCGAATCAATGTCCTGTCAACTACATTTTGGTTCAGCGCCCTCTCAACGGTGATCTGTTACTATAAATGTTGCTTTATGGACCCGTAAGCTGAAGTACTGATTTGCGCACGCGTGTGCGCAAAATGTTTGGACACGTGTTTGCACAAATCCTAGCGTCATATCCGATCTTTCTTTAGAGGGTTCCAGATAACATGCGTATCGTCATATATTCCAGGGCGGATTCAAGATCACATTGCTGACATTAAAGCCCGGGCCGCTGAGGAATTAGCTATATCGAGGCAGCAATGGCGGAATGGGAGCTGTAGCGGATTCAGAGAGGCTGCCAGGACCCCAGCGGACGACTTGATTCAGCAGGTTATGCATCCAGACAGTGACGATGACAACGAAGATGGCATCCCGTCGTATGTCTGTGAAAAAACGCAAGATAACCGGGCGGAAGAGAATGCAGCTGAGGAGAACGGAACAGAGGAAAACAAAGCCGAAGAAAATCATGTGGTTATCGACTTTGGGTCAGAGGAGACTGCGGCAGGGCTGACTGCCAGGTCTTTGGATTCTGTTGCGTTCACAAATGGGTCATTAGAAATTGAAAATAAAAGCAACAACCCTGGCCTCCGCTCAAACGATCGTCCCAGCCAACGTTCCAACGATCATTCCAATGATCGTTCCAACGAACGTACCGGTGACATACGCCCTAGCGACTCTCGTGGAAGTGGCAACGCTCCCGGTATCGTACGCAAGGATGCAGAGAGCTTACCGAACGTAGGGGGTTGGAAAGCATCCAGTAGATTGATCTTCTGGAATGGATATCTGACGTGTCGTCGGAAGCTCATGCTCTGCGTCTATGGTTTAGTGTACATGCTGGGCAGTATGTGGAAGAATGTGATGTTCCTGACCAATGTGCTCGGCGTCGTTTTCACAGGCACGATCGATCCGAGAACGGGGCGCATGCCCTCTGAAGAGAAGCGACTGGAGGATATTCTGTCGGCCGGGGTGGCATGCTTGTATCAACGCGGGGAGAAATTGTGGTACTGCGACAAGTGCGATATTTTCCGGCCTCTGCGGTCTAAACACTGCAACGACTGCGGCTACTGTGTTCGTACATATGACCATCACTGTCCCTGGATCGGTGTATGCGTGGGCGAGCGAAACAAAGGCTGGTTCTGCTTCTTCTTGGTGCTACAGTCCGTCGAGCTGGCTTACGCAATTGTGATGTCTGTCTTTGCGACGATTGTGGATTCGGACTGGCTTGAAAGGAGAAACCCCACTCTCGACGAGTAAGCCTCCCCCCTTCCGCCCTTGTAACCGTCCCACCCTTATAAGGACTGGCTGGCTTCTCACCGATGCTTCTCGCTGCAGTATTTTGCCACATGTTTATCTGATGTTCATGATGGTGATAATGTTCAGCTTGGTCATCATGACCGCATCGCTGATGGTGTTTCACGTCATTTTGATTTTGGCCAACGTCACCACCTGGGAAATGACGAGCTGGAAGCGGATCAGCTACCTCAAGCGTCGCGATCGGTCGAGGGGAAGCCCTTTCGGCACGAGTAGTCTCAAGGAAAACGTGAGCTTGGCGCTGCAGGTCCCGGCCCCCCTTATTGGACGGTGGGATCCCAGCAAGCTCACGCGGTTGGGTAAATACGTAGTAGGCTTTAACGACGAGCTGTTTTGGCTTCCCGCTGACCCAGGTAAGGTTCCTGCCGCCCCTCCACCCGCCCAACCCACCCAAATCCGATCAATCCTACTCATCTTCCGAACTGGTTCGTTCCGCGAGCCCATTGGTTCCCCGGCATATTCCCCCGATCCTGTTGGCTGTAGAAGGTACCGCGATACCCCCGAAGTTGTTGGCGAATGGCTGCTGCAACCTTTTTGAATTGTGCGCGTAAGGGCGCATTCAGTGTCTGGCAGCGCGGGAATTGGACTGGACCCGTGCGCGGTCCGGCCGCGGCGCGGTCCGGGTGGATTAATTCCGGCGAAAATTAATGAGTTAATGGAGGAGTCGAGTAAGCGGCGCCGGAAGGAGGAGGTGACTTGTCGCGTGTGTCTCAAGGCAGCGGCCCTGTATGTCTGTCCGCGATGCGAGACACGGAGTTGCTCGCTGGCCTGCAGTCGACAGCACAAGGCGACGGAGAACTGTTCCGGCCGGCGCGCGGTCGAGTTTGCCGCGCGTGGGGCTATGGATGCGGGCACTCTGATGAAGGACTTGAAGATCCTGACGGAGGCGAGCGAGGTGGTGGAGTCGGCGGCGCGGCTGGACGGGCAAATGGCGCTCAACCAGGTGTCTGCCATCCACCCAGACTCCGTGGCGCCGGTCTTGGAGGAGCGCGAAGCGCCGGCGGGTGACCGTGTCAAGCGGGAGGCCGAAGGGACGCCCGAAGAGGGGACGCCAGGTGAGGGAACGTGCGGCGAAAGGTGGTACCGGGACAAACCGTCGCGGGACAGAGCGGGGCGAGGGGATTTGCTCGCATTTGGGGGCGGCGTGAACAAGAATTGTCGCCAAGTCATCCAGGCTGCTGGCGTCTACTTTCGCCAAGGTCCCCAGTGCTCCGCACGGCGTCGACGAAACACAACATCGCTGAAAAAGAAACGGCTGCGTTGGCGCGTCGAGTGGACTGTTTATGCACCCACCGGTGGCGTCGTGCGTGAAGTCCAGGTTAAGGCGCAGTCGCCGCAATTCCTCATGCGCACTCAAGTCGTGCACGTGCTGCGGCAACTGCCCGACCTGGTCCGGGAAATGCTTAGCGGTGCGACCATGAGCGGGGCGGTCCTCGGTGGTGTGATCCCGAGTGGTGTGGCGGAGTCAGTTCCCACCACAACGTACGACGGCGCACTGGAGGACGACGCAGAGGAGGGCGCAGGGGAGGAAGACGCAGAGGAAGGCCACGCGGACGTTGTTCCTGACGAGGGGGCTGTTCCGGACACCAGCGCTGTTGCTGAGGACTCGCAGCCGCCGCTGGTTCAGGAAGTGTCTTCTGCCGTGGGTACGACGAGGTTGAAAGAACAAGAGGAACTGGACTTGGCCGAGGTGCCGCGAAGGGTGGAGACGGCTGCGGAAGGACCCGCGGCGGTGGAAGGACCCATGGCGGCGTCTCGGTTGCCTGGAGAGCTTGTGCGTTTGGCGAGCCTGTTCGACATTTTGCTTCTGGACGAGTCAGTGCCGAGCAACCAGCGAGGATATATAAGAATGGATCAGGAGGAGACGTTGGAGGCTTGTCTCCAAGGCGTCTTAATAACCGACGTAAGCCTTTTCCCTTCCCGCCCACGTACGCATCATTTTTCAGTTTCCTCGATTCCAGTTAGTGCCGAAGGACTTGTTGGCAAATCGGGCGAAGACAAAGCCCTATGACCTGGACATCGACGCGCTGCCTGCGTATGCATTGGGGGTTATAAACACGCGCTTGGACGTGCGTGCCAGCTTCAACGGGGCACCCGTGTACGAGCGGCATTATGCCGCCGCCGCGGTCTCTCCTTGAACGCATCTTTTTTGATGAGAAATGACCAATGGAATAAGCGGTACTTCGTCCTCCTTTCCCTTAACTCGCCTCATCTGCTGGCCACATCCTGTGTGCTTGTAGAGCCTTTGGATTTGGCACGACTCAGTCTAGGAGATAAAATTCATGTCAAGTGCCGCGGAGGGCGGAAGCTCGAAGGAATTCTACATGTAACCTAGTTGCTGCACAAAGAGTCGCTGCAGGGGAAGTTGGTGTGCGGTCGTGCACTGGAGGTGGAGCAAGGGTCTCACGGGCATGATGTGACGTCTTTTAGGCCTATGACCCGCACTTGAACCTAATCATAGGACCGGTTGCAGAGACCTTGGAGGAGCCTTATGTGGACGAGAAGACGGGAGCTCTTAAAACTCGCGCCACGACAAGGTTGATAGATGTTCTGTTTGTGCGAGGGGACGGCGTAATTCTGATTGCGCCTGTGCACTGTTAGCCGTCGTTGTATTTCGTGTGTGCAGGTAACTTGCGTACAGGTAGCTTCCTCGTGGTTGTTGGTTTGCTCGTCGAAGCCCTCAGTCGGTGGGTGTTACACGGCTGTCTGTGTAGGGTGCAGGTAGGTGCGGATTTTCTGGAAAAGAGAATGCAGGGTCAGAACAGCATGCGTGAGGGTCAGGGCAGCCTGGCAGAAGCCGGCCAGAAAAGCCTGCGAGAGGGTCAAGGCAGCCTGCCTGAAGCTGGCCAGAAAAGCCTGCGTGAGGGTCAGGGCAGCCTGCGAGAGGGTGAGCAGAACAATGTGAGTGAGGCGGGGTTTTTACAGGCGGTGAGTTCGGATCGCCAGAACAGTCTGAATCAGGATGCGGTACCGCATCGGCAGCAGAGTTTGACGAAGCCGGCGAGCACGATGCAGCGAGTGTCTAGTCTGGCCGGTGAGTTGGTACGTGCTGGTTCTGTTGTGGCACCGGGCCTAACGACGTTGGGAAGTACTGTCCCGGTGATGGGTGATGACGTGAATCGTGCAATTGATGCAGTGTACGAAGAAGACACGGCTTTGATGGCGACTGACCGTGGAGAGACGGAGTTGGCAAAGAGGGATGCGGCAGTTGGAGAGGCGTCTGTGGGACTTGGTGCAGAGAAGGGTAGCAAAAACCCTTTGCTGGCATTCAGTTTTGCGGACAAGTGGGACATACTGATGTTGGTCGTGGGCACATTGCTCTACATCGGGTTGGGCACATTACAGCCGATCATGACGACGTTCTTTGGATCGGGGATGACGGACGCGGGTATGGGCAAGACGGACGGTTTGGTTGATGCCTGTACCAAAATGGCTTATTTGGGTGTGGCTGCTTTCTTCGGAATGCTGTTTGCCACCATATGTTACGAAGTATCTGCGGAACGACAGGTCGCGAGGATCAAACGACAGTACATACAGTCTGCGTTGCGTCTGAACGTGGGGTTTTATGACACGGTGGACGTGGGCACTTTGGCTAGCGATGTGGAGACTTCATGTGTGCAGATCCGTAACGGTGTGGGCAACAAGACAGGGGAGATCTTCAAGAACCTCTCGCTCTTTGTCTCGGGCTACGTGGTCGCTCTAATGCATCACTGGAAGATGACTCTGATCATGACCTGCGCTGTACCTTTCTTGGCCGGTGCACTTTTTGTCATGGTCTTGTTTATCGGCAAGTCCGCTGCACGCTCTAAGGAGACGTATACTCTTGCCGGCAGCGTGGCCGAGGAGGCGATACCAGCAACCCGGACTGTGGCAGCTTTCGGACTGGAAGAGAACTTCATACAGAGGTTTGCAGAGCGTATCGATGTCTCTTTGGCCGAGGAGATCAAGGGGAGCACTGCAAAAGGAGCGGGAATTGGTGTTGTCTTCCTCATTATATTCAGTACCTTCGGCCTGGGATGGCTCTACGGCGGGAAGACCATCAAGGACAATATTCTCTCCGATGGCATACTCGGTTTGAGCAGCGCCGCTGACGTGGTGACGGCCTTTTTCTGTGTCCTCACAGCCGCCTTCTCACTGGGCTTCTTGGGACCTAGTATCTCGGCGCTGACGGCGGCCTCCAAGGCGGTAATTTCTGTCAAGGCGATCATCGAGAAAAAATCTGAAATCGACCCTTTGAGCGAAGATGGTCTCAAACCCGGCACCCCTATCCAAGGCGGAATCACATTCAACGAGGTCCGTTTCGCCTACCCCTCGCGGGCGGAGCGCGACATTTACCAAAGCGTTTCCTTCGACATCAAGCCGGGTGAGACGGTCGCCCTCGTGGGTCCTAGTGGCTGCGGTAAAAGTACTGTGATCCAGTTGATTGAACGCTTCTACGATGTCACCGGCGGCCAGATCAAGGTTGACGGCGTGCCCATCCAGGAGTACAACCTGGCCTGGCTTCGCAATCACATGGCGCTCGTCTCGCAGGAACCAAGACTTTTCTGCGACACAATCCGGAACAACATCCTCCAGGGCAAGCCAGACGCAACTGAGGAGGAGATGATTGCTGCAGCTAAGGCAGCAAATGCGCATGACTTCATCATGGGACTGGCTAATAACTATGACACTGACGTGGGTATAGGAGGCGGCTTATTATCGGGTGGACAGAAGCAGCGTGTGGCGATTGCACGCGCGATCTTGCGTGACCCGGCCATCATGATTTTGGATGAAGCCACCAGTGCGTTGGACAACCAGTCGGAGAAGATCGTGCAGGAGGCGTTGGATAAGTTACTGGAGAGCAAGCGGCGTACGACAATCTTGATAGCACACAGATTGACTACCATTCGCAACGCTAACAAAATTATTGTCATTGACAACGTGCAAGGGAAAGGTTCGGTGGTGATTGAACAAGGCTCACATGCCGAGTTGATGAAGATACCGAACGGCGTGTACAAGCAGCTAGTGGATGCTCAGAGCATGCAGCCGACTGAAGAGCGTACAGAAGCGCCGGTAGAATTGAATATGGGTCCGGCTGTTATGAGAAAGTTGGCGAAGACTCGGAGCAAGCAGAGTATGGAGCGGGAAGGCAGCATTGCGGTGCCAGTCCCGGCTGCGCAGGAAGGCCAACAGCAGCCGGAACAGCAGAATGCTCCGGTGAAAGAGAAAGGGCCCACATCCAAGTTGTGGTCGATGATGATTAGGCGCAGCTGGCACACGTTTTTGGTGACGGTATTTTGTGGCACATGCAACGGAGGCATGCAGCCATTGAACGGACTGCTGGTGTCGGCTTTTCTTACCAGTTTCCTAAGTTGGGATCCGTTGCTGGATAGCCGTGGCAATGCAAACCACTTGTGGAACGACAGTAAGAGGCTGGCGACCGTGTACATCTGTATCGGTTTGGGTATGGCCCTTACGATGTTCGGCGAGAATTATTTTTCGGACAGGAATGGGGCAAGCACCATCGCCACGCTTCGCAAACGCACGTTCGAAAACATCTTGTACCAAGATATGGAGTTCTTTGACAACCCTGCGTACAACACGGGTTTCTTGTCCTCTGTGTTATCTGCCGACTGCGAGATGGCTAAGACGATTACGGGCCAGAACTTCATGGTCACGTATCGTATGGTGATAACTCTGATTATTGGGATCATCATCGCGCTCTCGGCGAGCTGGAAAGTAGCGTTGGTGGTGGGTGGTATGTGGATGGTGATCATCCCGTTGTTCGTCGTGCAGGTACAGTTGACGAAGGGCACGAGCATCCAGATCGGGAAGACGGATGAGGTGGGGTCTCCAGCGTTCGTCTTCAACGAAGTGATGATGAACCTCAAGACGGTGGCGGCGTACAACCTGCAGCCGGCAATGAACAGTTCCTACCACAAGGCTGTCCAGCACTACTTGAACATCGGCATCCGGAACGGCTTCATTACCGGCGGCGGCACCGCCATATCCGAGTGTATGTCTTACTTCGCCTCTGCCGCCGCCTACCGCTATGGCGCCTATCTATTAGGCACCGGGGAGCTCTCCTTCAGCATGATGAGTCGCGCTGTCATGTCTATCATGTTTGCGGGCAACGGAGCTGGGCGTTCCGCTGGCTTCAGTTCGGACGCAAAACGCGCCCGGATCGCCGTCCAGAATGTTTTCACGGTTCTTGAGAGGCAGCCGAAGATGGACGTTCGATCTGACTACGGCGTTACTCCTGATTTTAAGAAGGACGTGGCTGTCGAACACGTCAAGTTCCGCTACCCCGGACGACCGACTGTGCCTGTGCTGAACGACGTTCACTTTACCATACCCGCAGGCAAAACTGTCGCTATGGTCGGGGAGTCTGGTAGTGGTAAGAGCACCATTATACAGTTCCTCGAACGCTTTTATGACATCGGCGCCAGCGACTACTTTGCGGAAATCGTTGAACTACACAACGAAGAACAAAAAATCGCTGCTAGAGAAAAGGGTACCACACCCGTGCTACTCGAGGAAGCCGACCAAATGTACAAAGGCCGGCTCCTAGTCGGGTCGGCCGACATCCAGGAAGTAAACTTAAAACAACTACGATCCCAAATTGGACTCGTCCAACAGGAACCTATTCTATTTGATCTAAGTGTCGCCGACAATATTCGCTACGGCAAGCTGGACGCGACCCAGCAAGAAATCGAGACTGCTGCACGGGCGGCCAACGCTCACGAATTCATTACCCGGCTGCCTGAAGGGTATGACACCGGTGTCGGTAAGGGCGGGAAGCTGCTCTCTGGAGGTCAAAAACAGAGAGTCGCCATCGCTCGAGCACTTGTGCGAAATCCTAACGTTCTCTTGCTCGATGAGGCAACCAGTGCTCTCGATCCCGAGAGTGAAGTCATTGTGCAAAAGGCGCTGGACGAGCTCCTGAAAACCTCCACCAGAACCACCCTCGTGATTGCGCATCGTCTCTCCACCATCCGGAACGCCGATCTCATCGTCGTCTTCAAACCGGAGGCCGGAGCGGGCAGCAAGATCGTCGAACAAGGCACTCACGATGAACTGATGCGCATACCCAACGGGGTCTATGCCAATTTGGTGAACATCGCCGCTCAGGCCGGCAAGGGCTAAACGACTGCGCTGGTCCCATATGCCGAAAGCGTAGGCGTCAACAGTGACACAAGACCTAGTATTTTTGAGGGCAACGAATCGACAGTTCTTTGGTAGTTGATAACGTCTTTGTTTGACAGACCCAGAAGTCGTGATCTAGCCCAGGAACCTGGTTGGCCTGGCCCCATACGCCACCTGACCCCATGACTTGACCGCCATACACGTCTAGTCTCTGGCCCCAAGACGGTGGCCGGCTCCACTAAAAAGGCGGGGCATGGGGTTCGTCTCCACGCCACCAGCGGGCCTGGTCGCCTGGGTTGGTTCTCTTCGCTCGACATGGCCCCCTCGAACTCTGAGCTCTGGTTGCTTTCCCTGGAATAAAAACGCGCTTTCACTACCAGCTGTAGGAGGGACTGTGGGAGAGGGAGCCGAGAGAAAGACCCAGAGGGGAAGGGGGGATTGTCTTACAAGGAGAAGGTATTTCAAACTCTGCTTAATGTTGGTCATGTCGAAGAGCGCCGCTCGGCGCATGATCTCATCAAACACGAAAGGCGTCACTCGTAGGATGTCGATACCCCTCTCGTGCGGCAGAACATCTCTACAAGAGCGCAAGATTAACGGGGGCAGTTTACGAAGCTCAGCGGGGATCCGGGGATGTTCGGGATGGGCAAACGCGCGCGTGTGCACACGCGTGTGCGGGAGCGAGTCTTACTTGACAAAGTAGTAGAGATGGCCCGTTGCGAGGCCCATGACGTTGATGAGGATGTTGTGGCCCATGAGCAGGTCCAGGAAGATGAGCGCGAAGGGGAACTGATAGGCTTGGACGCGGAACCCAAAGATGCGACATTCGGCGAAAGGTTCCCGGCGGCTCCAGTAGTAGATGATGGCCATGACCATGGCTGGAGCTAGAACCGGTCGTCCCGTGGGCCAGAACATGATGAGCGAGAGCGTGTCCAGAGACAAACTTTGGAATGCGAGGAAGCACAGATATGCGCCGGGCGATGTGTTGAACATCTCGTTCGTCTCTAACTTGGCGCTAAATGTAACCAAGAAGTACATATGCATTACCCAGCCGATGCTGAAGGTGCCCGCGAAGAAGTAATCAGAAATCAGTCGCCACGCCTGCGCCTTCCACACCACCTTGGTCCAATCGAGCATCACATGGTACGGACTCAACAAACTTAGAGAGCACAACAACGTCAGCAAAAACGAAACAGTGACCGAAAATCGCGTCAGCGGCGGCAACGACCGGTACCAGGCCTCCGGGGAACTTGTGTCTTCCATTCCAGTCGCCTACAGTCATGCCGATGTGTGTGCACCCCGGGGATGTATGTCATGGGGGGAAGACCTACGAGTTTCGGTTTTTGAGAAAAAGGTGGGCTGAAAGGGCAGCCGATTGACCTGTCGTAGAGGAGTGAAATGACCAAAAGAGGGCTAGGTCCAGGGTTTGAGGCTGGCAGTACGCGTGGGGCAAAGGCGAGAGGGGGAAAGGGGGGTTGGACGGCGAGGCAGAATTGGCAGCTGAGATGGTAGCGAGAGGACAAGGTGGTGATATGAAGTTTATGTCTGAAAAAGTTAGTTGGCAGTCACGGCTTTTTTGGCGGCGGCAGAGGCGAGTTTGGCCTTCTTCTTCTCCTCGATGTAATCGGCGAGAACCTTCTGGTACTCGGCGGCGGCTTGTTTGGAGGCGGCTCGTTGGTTGGCCATCGCGGTCTTCTTGGCCTTCTTGCGTTGAATGCGCTGGGCAGTCACGAGGCGCTGGATCTTGGGTGCCTTGGTCTTGCCTTCGCGGATGACGCGACGGACGACGAAGGGACGCACATCGTCACCCTTTTCGAGGCCGAACATCTTCCGAATCTTGCCGGCTCTCTTCGGTCCCAGACGACGGGGACGGACCTCGTCAGTCAGGTTCTCGATGACGTTGTCGCCCTTCTTCGCGATCGTCAGGTTCAATGCCGACAGGTCCGAAGCCACGATGCAACCGCGGACAGACTTCCTCCTCGCAGCGCCCTTTCTGCGCTCACGGAAGCAAGGCATGCCCTTCCTAAGCAAAAGCCGAACGCGATGGTTGGTAAGCACGCCCTGCATCATCGGGAAACCCTGTTTATCGTTACCGCCAGTAACTCTACAACCGAAACGATGGAACATGTACACAGTACACCTCTTCGCAAATGTGTGTGCACACGTTTGTGAGCACTGAAGGGACACATACGCTAGGCTCCCAGCACACACCAGTCAGCACACACACGCGGACTAGACCGTATCAAAATGGGTGGTATATCGTGCTTAGAACATACCTGAGGACATAGCCCTTCCACTGGTCGCCGAGAGTGTCGGCGGGGACTTCAGCGCCGATTCGCTTTTCGTAGAAAGGAAGCAGCAGCTTCTCGTCGTCAATGTCGACGGTGACCACTTTGCCGTGCTCAGGCGATGAGACGTTCAACTTCATTTAAGCAAGACCTCGCTGAGCAAAATTGTCCCCCAAAAAATTCCCCGAATCCTGTTACGTCTTCTTTTATATTGTTGCTATAAGCGGTTGATAGGGGGGTGCTCATTGGGGTGCCACGTGCTCGAGAGTGTCCCGCTATCTTCAATACCGCGTTGGTGCGTGACAGCCCGAGGATGCGGCACATTCTCGGTGCCTGAGCATCCAGCACATGTGACGCTAGGCATCGCGAGTGCGGTGGCATCGCGAGTGCGGTGGGCATCACGAGAGGAGGTCCTGTCTTGGTTTAGGAAGGTTTGGCGGGAGTAGGTGGGGTTGGGTCCTTTTATGAAATCTGGGTGACAAGTAAAAACACATGGTTGCGGCCGAGGAAGGGATTGATGCCATTCAGTTACTCAGAGGTGCTAAGTTGCTCTTTCAGGGCGCTGAATCAGTAAGAGAGCAGTCCATGAGTAACCGTCAATAGAAAGCCTACATAGGTGAGTTCCTGGGGCAGCGCGTGTTGCTGAAGGAACGTTTCAGGAAAAGGTACAGGCACCAGGACCTGGACGCGGAGCTGCGGAAGTTGCGAACGCGGAGCGAGTGTCGCAACATCATAAAGGCACGGAACTGCGGTGTATCGGTGCCATACATCTTGGCAGTGCGACCAGAGCACGGACTTATATGCATGGAGTACATAGCGGGACTCTCGGTGGCTGATTACCTCAACGGGACGGGCAACGTGTCTGAGCCCAGCTTACCTGAAGCCAGTAAGCCTGAAGCCAGTAAGCCTGAAGAAGCTTGTAAGCGTCAGGTTTCCCTGGAGCAGGTCCGTGCAATTGGGCGTTGTGCGGGTAAGACCATATGCAAATTGCACGACGCCGGCATCATTCACGGCGACCTCACGACCAGCAACATGATGCTCCGCACGACCACTGCCGACTGCTTGGAATTGGACCAGTTGGAGTTGGTCTTGATTGACTTGGGTCTTTCTCACTGTAGTACTAGCTCGGAAGACCGCGCTGTAGACCTCCACGTGTTCACCAGAGCCATTCGTTCCAATCACTGCTCAATCGCAGACCAGCTCGTAAGCCCAAAACACGCACGCCCGTGTGCGGCCTAGTCACCATGCAGCTGCTCCTTGGTAGATTGCCGGCGTCCTGGACGGCTACGAAGAATCAAGTAAGGAAGGTGCCAAGACGTGCCAGCAACTCCAAGTTGTCGAGAAACGGGGTCGCAAGCGGTTGTGAGTCGCCATTTATGACGGCCGGGCTTGACCAGAATTGCTTAATGGGAGAGACTCCCGTAAGAGGGATAACCGTGCAGCTAAAAACAATCTTGTCCCAGGTTGGATGCAAACCATGGCACAGTGTGTAAGCTGCAACGCAATGCCAAAAAACACTTTTCTTTTATGGTCTCAACTCCGCTGCGTAGCGGCAGCAGGCCAATCCCGCGAACTCGACCATCTTTCTCGACATATCGAAAGCACTGGCGATGCACTTGGTTATTGTCCTCGTGATGGACGCCAGTAACTGTGCACCACGGGAGTGGCATCAGCGATTCTGTTTCTCTTTCTAAATAACAGTCAGGGTGGCTCGACATTCGGCCCGACATTACTGTGTGTCCTCATGATGAATGCCGATTGTCCGGTCTCTCTGGTCCTCCACGTACTGTTGCGTGAGCCAGCGATGCAGCGGTCCTTGCCCACCGCGAACCTCCGTACCGGGTCCTTGTGCGCCCGGACCGTCCTGCCAGGGGCGTCGCACCTCTCGGTGCTGACCTGCGTTCCCGTAACCTCCCTAACCCTCATGGGTAAAGACCACCTCGCCGGGGCCCACGTGGGGCTATCGGTTCCCCTCGTTGGAAGTGCGCGAACAACGGTACACGTTTTTAGAGCGCCTCGTACGGGCTTACCCCAGAACTGATGTGAGGCGTCGTGTTGTGAGCCCTGACAACCGCAGCGAGCCCTGACAACCGCAGCTACTATGTGTGATAGATTCCTTTGCCCCTCCTGCCACAGCGCGCAGAGCCCGGATCAGAGCGCTTAGTGAGAAGCTTCGTTTATGCCATTCCCCTGCGGTCCGTATGTGGCTGTTGTCAGGCGCTGCGACCCTAACCATTTGGTCACTACACCGTGAAATACTCCTTTGAAACTCGTCCCGTAGTCTGTAAGTACGATGCGTGGAATCCCGAAAGGCACCACCCAGCCTCGATAGAATATCTTGACCGTCTGCCGTGCTGCCACTAGGCTTGTGATCCACGCCCCCAGATACCGCGTGGCGTGACCCATCACCAGTATCCACCAGTTCTGACCGCCGAGATTTAGAGGTCCAACGTGGTCCAGCGACACCAAATCCAAAGCAACAGCATCAAGGTTGCCTCCCGGCACGGGATGGGTAATCGGAGCCCGACGGCATACGCGTGCACACACTAGGCAGTCCTTAACCGCTTGCGCTACATCAAAGGGGGACGTGAGGTGCCTCTGGAGTTTGCGTCGAAGAAGTTTACCGCTGCCGAATGCAAGGATACACGTGAAAGGAAGCTCTTTGCTTTCAAGTGGGCTATAGACAAGTGGGCGGACTACGTCACTCTTGCTCATTTCACTATGAGGACTGGTCATGCTAATCTCCGCTACCTGACGGGTGTGGACAAAGGGAAGGTGTTTCGGTGGGCCTCGGCGCTCAGCCGGTTCGACTTCACCCTCGAGTTCGTGTCCGGAGAGAGAAACTGCATGGCGGACTGCTTGTCGGCAGGAACGCGGACGATGACGCGCTTGTGGAATAGATGGCGCCTGGGGGCGCGGTGGTTGCACATGTGGGGGCACTGCTTCACACGAACCGGCTGACGGAGGGAGACTTGATGGCGGCGTACAACTCAATGCCCCCGGAGGGGATAGTAGGGATTCGGAAGGGCGGTAAGTGGTGGCGATATACGGCCTGTGGGAAGGTGTATGTGCCGGAGTCACTGCGCACCAGAGTTATCGTGTTGTTTCACTCTGGGTCGAGCGGTTCAAGACGAGGAAACGAGTGATGAGCCTATTCTACTGGCCGGGCTTGACTGCGGTGGCTCTGCTTCGGAACTGCGCCAATCCCCAACTCCGACGCATCCGTCTCAATGGTATAGGGCTGGCCAGGCTCTGATGTGTGGAGTAAAGCCGCCTCGACTACCGCCTCCTTCAGCGCCTTGAACGTATCAGCTGGTCTAGGACAATATCGTCAATGTAACAGAGCGTGCTACTGTCCAGCACCTTCTCGAAAGACGCGCCCATAGCGCGCTGAAACTCGGCCGGTGAGTTCTTGATCCCGAAAGGTGTCACATTAAACTCAAAAAGCCCAAATGGCGTGACGAACGCAGTAAGATGCTTACTCTCCTCAGCGATGGGTACATTCCAGAAACCCGACGACATGTCAAGCGGGCAGTAAATATGATGCCCGCCGCAGTCCTTAAGTGATCCCAAATAATCGGAATTGGATAGGAGTCCGCAACCATTGACTTGTTACCCCGCCGCTCTCCCATCTTCTTCTTGGTGAGGTGCGGTGCTGCGGCCCACTCGGTCTTGGACAGCCGGATTAACCCCAGCTCCGACTGCTTCCTCACCTGCACCTCCGGCTCTCTCCGTAGCTCTGGTTCCAGGTGCCTCATCCTTGCCTTGTAGGGCCGCCCTCTCACAGTGAACCGAGCCTCGTACCGAGCCTGCGCCACCTTAGGCGACTCCCACGCGACTCTATAGCTCACCAGCAAGCTCCACAACTTCTTGCGCAGCGTACCACCCATGTGCCTCGTCTCTTTCTCAAAGAGACACTTCTGTTTGTCGACGTTGCGTTCTACAGCTTCCTCTAGCTTCGGGCTTTCGTTATACTATCCGGCTAGCCTCAATCCGTCCATTTCTCCGCGCTTGGCAGCCAGGATTAACGCCGACGAAACGCACTGCCTTCTTCCGGCCATTGATCTCAACCTCCCGGGCTCCGTCACCGGCAGGCGATCCGTACCAATCACCGTAACTATCTCCTCAGTCACCGGTGACAACGCGACCTCTGCCTTCTCACAGTCATCCCTTCTCAAAATACTCAAACCTGTATCCTTGTAAAATTCCAACTCGACCCCCTTGACGATTGCCTTCAACAAAAATCCGAGCTCATTCCCTTGGCCAACGCATTCACCGACGGCCCAACATCGCCGTCGTCCCCAACCACGGCCGCTCGTCCATTCGACTGCACAGGTCCGGAGGCCGACGTGTCCGCGCCTGCTGCGCCTCAACCTGCATCACATCGTCGCCTCGCTTCTGTCTCCGTCGATCGTCTGCCTGAGTCCCCTTGTTAATAAACCTCTGCGCCGCACGCAGGTAGTCGCGCCTCGATCGGTCACCTCTCACTTGGAACGTCGTCCGTCCCCTACTCAGCTCCACGAACGCCCTCATAGGAGCGTCCTGGTCAGTGAGATAGGTCCGATCACACACAACGCTCCTGTGATCTTTCCGACCACAATTGAAAAATACTTGTCGTCCTGGCTCGGACAAGCTTTCTTCTGGTGGCCACTACGGCGACAACCCCCACATCTCCTCGCACCGTCATTACCAATACCGAAACGACTCCGAACCGCGTCCGACCGCTCCGCAGGCCATGTCATGGCTGCCAACACAGGGGGGCTCCACGCTCGCTTAATGGCGACAACTTCCGTAACGCCTCGAGAACTGAAGTCCTGGTGAAGAACTTCAGCGCCATACGGAAAGCCTTCGCCCAACCATCGTCAGGTTACCGGCTCACTCGACATCACCACCACCCAATATTGTCTTTGCCTGATGTTCTTTCTGGTTTTCGAATCTCGCTCACCCAGAGGCAACTTTTTCTGATCATCACTGTAGCGTGTTCGTCGTATGTGTGAGAACGAATTGGATAAAGTTAGCGTGCTGAGTCAAGGTCACATTTCAGCCCTCCCGTCTCAAACTCGGCTGCTCGGGATGTGTGGGCAGGAGAGAGCGAAGGAGAAAGGGAACGCCGTCAGCGTCCTTGTACCTGACCACATCCACTGACCCATGAATTGCGCCGTTTCTCGCCAGCCAAAATACGCGCTGCGAAGTCTGTGGGCACCCTAAGAATCCGTCCCCGCCCTCACAAACCCAGAGTGGTGCTGTTCCACCCATCTCCTAACCTGTCCCCAGTACCCCACGGGGCAACGCGGAGCTGCAGTCAGCGTCCGAAACGCAGCCCCCCAAAACGCCACCGTTCTTGGTGGCGCATCTGCTGATGGACTGGTCGCGGCTCAATGGACCGATGGCCTTAACTATGAATCTGCAGCACATGTTGATCCCAATCAGCTAACGTTACGAGGGAATATGTCTTGCCTGTCCCAGAAAGTCCGCTCTACGATCTGGCACGCAGAGTTCAGAAGGATGGAAGGCCGTCATCAACAACTCCCTCGCAGTTCAAAAGAAGAAAGCACCGTCGTGAGCGACTCGTTCACTTTCGAGACGATATCGAGGTTCTGTCGTGGGGTCGTCGCAGCCTGTGGCCGTGTTCTGGGGCCGTCGTCATGGCCGTGATCGGCCGCTAAGACTGTCAACAGCGCTCATTGCAGCAACGCCCACACCACCCTAGGAACACACTACCCGAGCTACATCTACAAACCGTACTGGTTACTCCGGATGGGCCTGCTTCAAGTTTTGGGGCTTATCTAGAAAGAAGCAGTCTACATGCCGGTCAGCTTTCGGCCCGAAGGCGGCGCGAGGCAGCATGGCGAGCGAAGTGAGACCTGGACCGCCAGAGTCCTCACTGGGCCGCCAGAGCCCAGAGCTCTTTCTCACAGTCCAGATGGTCCGCCGAAGTCCTCACTGGGCCAATGCCCCGTACGACGCGAAAGAGCTCAAAGTTGTCTGGAATTAGTCCCGAAGCTCCGTCCTATCTTCGAAAAACACAGGCGCTATCATTCGGCAGCTGCCCGTGGACATTGACGGTCACACCGCGACCTCCAGTCCGGTCCTGTAAGCAAAGCACAGCACAGGTATTCCCCTCGTCCGCGGAGGGCACGTCCTTCTTCCGTGAGTGAAGGGCACCTCCACTTCTTCCTCGAGTAGGGCTATCGTGAACAGGTTTGTCTCGCTTTCACGTGTAGGTCGGGGGACTGAGAACTTTGGCTGGCAAGAAGGCATACTTGGACGTCGGCCGCAAGTGGTTGAGCCAGGAGTCCCAGGTAAATATCGCTCCAGATTGAAGCATCGACGCTTCCGGCGACAGCTATGAAGACAGAGTATGGTAACCCCTGTGTTGGCTTACCGCTTCCAGGGTGGTCGTGGTGGGTCCTTTGAGCATGTCGAGAAGCTCGTTAGGTTCTTCACCTTGTTGGACGTACATGACTTCCAGTCGCTCGCCGGGGGCACACTCGAATTGCCGAACATTATTAAGGAACCTGGTGGTTGCGGACAGCAAGGCTGACCTTACCCCCATGGTAACTTCACTTCCTTCCCACACGTAGAACTGCAATGCGTTGCGTGACTCCCCTCCTACCCCGTGGATCCCTTGGGTGCCGCCTGGCTGTGGGTGCCGGTAGGTTGCTTACTCGTCTCGTCTTGGGTCGTAGAATGTACACGAACCGCGAATCTAGAAGAATTGGTGTGACGGTCCATTCTGACTTATTATTGTCTGCTCGTGAGCCTAATTCAACGACGACGGTGAAGGGCGCCTTCGGGTGATGCACGCCGGCACGATACAGCCGCATGGGTTCATCACGGGAAACGGATGGGGGTCGGGTATTGCAAAGGATCTTCTGTAGTTTGATGAGGCTGACGGTGAAGCCGGTGTTGGGGGCGCAACTCGGTCGGCATTCCTTGACTCGCTCGAGACTCTGTCGGAAGTCCCAGCCTTCCTTCCACATGAGAAACGCGATGACGTAGGTGGCCGACCGCGAGACACCCTCTCGACAGTGCACCAACACCTTTCCGCCGTTCATAATTGCCGTATTGATGAAGCAGATTCCGTCGAACAAAACGGATTCCAGTGAGACGGAAAGTAACCGACTGTCCTGGATAACCACCATGCAATACTCGAATTCATTAGGAAAGTAATTATTGCATTCTTCGCCAGCAACGTTCAGAATATGAGTTATTCCTGATTGCTTTAGTAAAGGTAAATCTCTAGCTACATATTCTCCTCCAATAAACAGTTTGCCGTTCCAAACGACACTAAGGCGGTGCCGGTTCATCTCCACCAGTCTCGACACGGACTCGGGTCCACTAGAGAGACTATAGGAAGGACTCTAAAAGAAACAAGGTCCACCAAATAGCCAAGTAAACTAACGCAAATCGGGAGAGGTGATCACTTTACCCTCTTGCTGCTTCCACTTGTTTCCTCTGGTCGAGATTGACCTATTGCACCTATATTCAGGGCCGGGATGCCCTTTATTCGGGGAATGGTCTGCAAAGTACGCATTGCACACACGTGTGCTCCCTTACGTGGGCAGGCATTTTATTATATGAAAATGGTTAAAACCGCGGACTGGCGGCTCCCCTGCCCCTTCTAGGTACTTAGAGGAAGGCGGCAATGCAGGCGGCAGATGGTGGGCTAAAAGTATATTTTGTGTCAAGCACAACTAACTGTTGCAAACTTGCAGGCCAGAAAACGACATGGCAAGCTGGGACCAACGGCATCAGTCTATATGTTACTGATCGTTCTCCGGAGCGGCGGAGGGAGTGTCATCCTCTGCTGCCATTTTCTTCTGCATGTTGCGAATGACTTTTTGATGTTTTTCGATCGGAGGATTGCAACCTTTATAGCTGCGGCGATACTGAGCAGAGACTAATATTTTATCACAAGAGAAACTCTCCTTAAAAGACACAGGGAGTTGCTCCTCGGGAATGGCGTTGAATTCCTCCCGCGAAAGGCTGCACCATTCCGGCTCAACGAGAAATACGCGTGACCAGTTGTCAAGCTTCTTCTCCTCCTTGGCTTTCCCCGACTGCATAAACTTCAACTAAAACAACAACGTGATGCCCCCGCTATCCGCAACGTATCCCCCACCGAGTTATCTATCTCGAGCCACTTATCTTGTCTCATCCCACTCGTCTCATCCCACTCGTCTCATCCCACTCGACTCATCCCACTCGTGTTATCTCATCTCTGCTTTGTTCTTTGCTTTCACGTCGTGATACTTCGCTTACTCTGGTAACATTCGCAGATATGTTGGACATATTTCCTTGAGAAAAAAACACCCAGGTCTTGGACCTCAGTTGAGCTCAAATCCAACTAGGAGTCGAGCTCAACTACGAGTTAACAGTTAAAGGGGTTGTGCACCCAGCCTTTTTAGATAAAGTCTTGCAGGGAGTCGAGTGAATTAATATGTAGTTTTTCCCAAGAGTCTATAAGAAGAAGACCGAGTTTTTCGTTCAGTATATTTTCGGCATTGTGAGGAAGCCCAGACCATTCGGGTGACTCCTCGGCTGGTATTTCATCAGCGATCCACTTCGAGTACATGGACCGGTCTTTGCTCACCTCTGGAGTTTTTAAACCGGTTCCCTTGTCCCCTAGTCGTATTTCTTTGTTAGGATTCAGAAGCTTCTCGTTTATGACTGCACTAACAATCCGACTGAGCTCATCCAAATCCTCCTTGCTGTCCACCCGTCCTCCATAGATGGCAGTGCACAATAACTCCCTCAAGGCGTCCCAAGGCACGACCCCATCCCGTGAGCTTAGCCACTCGTCAATTATCTCTAATCCACACACCAAATCTGCGTCACTGAAGTCAATCGGCTTTGTCCATCCGATGTCCTCGAACCGGCGACGTTCCAATACAATCGCGTGCATCATGGCTAACAAGAAGTACAGACGATCCACCATTAGACCTAAACTTGGCCGCGGTATCACGTGGTTGTTCCAAGTGCGTTCCAGTGCGCTCTTTAGCCCTTTGGGTGTCTCAAATACAAATTTCATCGACCGCTTCAGCACCTCGGAAGGGAGACTATCCTCTTTGAAAATGGTCGTCATGAAACACCGGAATCCAGGATCCGCTCCTTCAATACCACCACCCGAGCCGCTCGAACCAGCACCCGACCCGCCACGACCGGAGCTCGCTTTGAGAATTAGTTTATGCTGGTTGTTCAGCCACTCCTTGTCCGCGAGATGGACGTTTTTAAGGACGAGCCAGTGACCATGTTGCGCACAATTTTTCATCATCTTCTCCGCAATCTCGTAACCCTCCCGACTACCCAACGCGATCGACTGGCACTGCCGATTCAGCATCTTAGCAGCAGTACCGATCAACTGCGCAGGTTCGAATCCCGGCGATGACACCAACAACAGCACTCGATTCGTCTCCAGGATGTCTCGCTTAATCAAATCAGCCAACCCGTCCGCTCTGAACTCCACCGGGTTCCTGAACATCGGACCCATCACCGACACGATCCATTCAGACAACGCAGCCGATAGACGATCCGGCCGCAAATACTTGACCAGGACACACATCTGTAATAGACGCAAATCCGAATCCAGCAATTCCATCGGCGGATCCAGCAAATGCAATCCGTCACCCGCAACCCATGTCTCCCATTCACCCGGGTGAGCCTCCACGGACTGCCTAAAACCTTTCAAACTAGGACAACGACCGATAGCAGCAGCAATGTTGTCATCCCTTAAACGACTCTCCGGCGTACTGCAATAATTGGATATTACCCATGTGTGTGCGGCACACTTCTGTGTGTGTATGGCACACACCTGGTGTGTCAGAGTGTGTATGCGAGTGATTTGCATTACATTTCGGGTACGTTGGCAACGTCGACAAGAACTTTGTATTCGTCTAGATCTGAAAGCTTCTTATGGTCGCTGGCTATTTCCCAGCGAATTCGGGCGAGTTCGAGTGCAAAGATAAGTCGATGGTTGTAGAGCATGGAGAGGGCATAAGTACGATAGACAGTGAGGAAGAAGACATCGGTGAGTAATTCTGCTCGTTGTGAGTCATTAATTTGGTGCTCAGGTTTGCTCTGGTTTTGTATTGTGTTCATGTATATTTTTTCGAAGAGATTGACGTCAAATTGATAGAGCCAATGTATTGAGCTCATATGGTCGAGTGCGGTGAACGCCATGGTTGCGGCATTGGCGAGAGGAATATATTGATTGGTAACCTGGTTGACTTCCTCAAAGACCTGGTCGGCATTGGCGGCCTGTTTGGTAACCTGTTCAGACTTTGTTTTGATATCTTCAAGAGTTTTGATGACAACGTCATCATTTAGAATACTTCCCTTAACATTAGATAATGCCTGTAGAAGACCAGATTCAAGTTCCCTTATTTTGGCTCGGGTCTCACCTTGAAGACGAAGTGCGTCTCGTCTTCGTTTGTCAACAGCTGGATGTTCACACTGTAGCACAGCATCCAATGACTGCGCCTTGAGAGAACTGGGAGTTATGCAACAGTTGATTACGGTTAGTCTTGAAGAAAAGTCGGGCGTCAAGTTAATCTCGCCGTTAGTCGTTACCAAATATAAGCGGAATTCCGGACTCACATCCACTTCTGTGTCTCCCACATTCACCAGGGTGCGTCCGGCATGCTGACGAGTCTCACGGTTCAAAATGTGACCTAGGACGGGTACCATGCGTTCGATATCCTGAATGATGAGTGTATTTCCGAATCTCAGCGCGCTCTCCAAGTGCTTCACGAACTGCGGGTGACTCACACTCGACTTGAGTACTTTATTCTCACCATACAACTTCGTTAAAAATTCGACAATCCGATTTGACGGGTCAATGAATATCGGGTAGCGGATATGATTCAGCATAATACAAGCATTCTCTATAGACAACTGATCGTTACTCAAACCCAATGCAGATGTCCACCGGTAACGTTCCTTGCTATCGCTCAAGTATTCCACCAGACTTAGCTGTTTGTTGTATCTGATACCTAACTCTTCAAGTTTAGCCTTACACATCGCCAATAATCGATCACGATCGCTCTGCTCAAAGAAACCCAAGTACGTGCTGAACGCAGCAGCCAATAAGTTGTCACCCACACTCGTCTGGAATGCACTGCGACAAGCCTTGCTGCTCGTGGTCCACCGTTCCTGTTCGGAAGATAACTTGGCCAGCAGAGCGCTGCTTGAGGCGATCTTGTTAGTCACGTTTTTCACCTCGCTCCCGATAGCCTGCTCTTCGGCGATTAATTCCGCATACTTATTCTGTAGCTTCGTCAATTGCTCCTCCAGATCACGTGTAAGCTTGTTCGTACGTTCCAGCTGTTCCTTATTTTGTTTCAGAGCTGATTCAAGCTGTGCAATTTCCTGCGATAAAGGCTCCACCTTCAACTTGATGTCTGCGTACGTGATGGAACTAGTTACCCAAGATGCCATCGGTCCTGCCGCCCGCGAGGCCTGGGCCACCCTATTTTCATTCCATTCGGTCGAGCTCAGGTATTTGGCCTTGATCTTCTGAACGGTCTGGCTATCCAGTGACTCGTGGTCGAAAGTCAACACTTTGTTCACCAACGAGCCTTGCTGCATCGTCTTGCGGCACTCCTCCCAGGTAACTGCCTTGTCCTTGGCGTTGGTAAGCATGATGGTTACCGCCTCCAGGACCAGCTTGACGACGGCCGGCGGTGACGAAAGGCTCTTAAGCTCGTCGATCGCGCTCTTCGGGATGCTCTGAACCTTTTCCTGTGCCATTTTCAGTTGCGGTTCGACTTCCGAGAGCTCTTTCTGTACTTTGCTCTTACGCTCCTTAATCTCACTCTCGCTCTCGTTGAGCGCAGCGGTCAGCTTTTGCGCCTCGGCCTTCTTCTCTTCCGCCTCCGTCTTCTGCGCAATGATGTCCGTCATTGTCTGCTTGCTGAGGGCCTGCTTCTTAGCCAGTTCCGTCTCCTTGGTACTCAGTGACTGCCGCAGTTCCTCGACCTGCTTCTCCGTGGCCTGCAGCTGGAACAAGCCGGTGTTGAGGTGCTTCTCGTCGTCCATGACCGCTTGGCGCTTCTCGTTTACATATTTGGTCAAGTGCTTAATCAAGTCCAAAAACTCGCGTGGACTGCAGTAGAAGGACTTCTTAGGACCGCCTCGCATACAATCCGTCATCCTGCGGGCCGCCTCGTGAATTGAGACTACTGCTTCCGCGACCGTAGCCAGGTGTTCCTCCGGGGAACCGTCGGGGGCTGCGCCTTGTTCGAATGACTCATTTTCCAGCTCATAGTCTGTAGCGAAGGCTTCCGCGACGGCAAACAGAGCTTCACGACTCCAGTCACCGAACCAGTCGATAACGCAGCGGTTGAAGAGGGCCGGGGAGGTGGCCTTACGGTCGTAGAAGTCTCGGTTCTGCGGGTTCATGGTGAAGACAATATGTAGGTTAATTTGTACGTTGTGTGTAAAAGTCGCAAATATTTCTTGGTCATCATCACTCGCGTTCTCGAACACTGATCGGCACTCCGAGAGCAATTGCGCTAAACTGTCTTGCTCGAACAATCCGGGTACCTCACCGCTGGCAAGCAATGCATTCATCCGCTCCAAGAAGCCAGGACCAAATACATTTGATTCATCGAAGATGAAGGTAAGTTTTTCACTCTTAACACCCGCGCGTTTCATGACCGTGCGCAGATCATTCTCAAAGTCGGTTAAGCCGTAGTCGCGACCTGGTTTGATCTCGAAAATTTCTAGTCCCTGAATCCAGGATGTAAAGCGACTGAGGATGGTTTTGCCTACACCCGAAACGCCAACAAGTAGTAAATGCCCCAGAGGTTGGCGGAGTACTCGATCTATGTGGAGTACGTGTTCGAGACATTCATCGAACAAGACGAGTTTTATAGCGGCTTCTTCTTCGTAAAAGGTTTGCAGTTTCGAGGCCAAGAATTGTCGCACACGATCGCGGTCAACTTCCTCGCAGACCTCGCCGCACATTTGAGTGAACAGGATGGGCCAGGCGTAGTTGGCGTCATCTCCGAACTGTTCGCGGAAGCACTGTGCGAGTGTCTCCCGCCCCCACATACGTTCGTCGTGGGTTACGAGACGGTCCACGAAAATCCGTTCGCCTTCGTGCATTGCAAGTCGCACGAGGTAGTTGGTGCTGAAGTCCTCGTCAGCGGCAGTCCATTGGTTTACCACCTCCTGGATCGCCACTTTCCACCTCGTCAGTTCGCGAGGCGAATAAATGTAATGAGGCTGTGGCTCCGTGGAGAATCGACGTTGACTCTGAAGGTAATAAGCGACCATGGCGCGGGTCAGAGGACTCGCCAGCTCGGATTGTTGTGTACTAGCCATGACTTGACTCATAAAGGTTCCGTAAATTTGCAGAAGCGAGTCCTCCCCTGGGAAATCGATAAAGACCAATGGTGCGACACGCAACCAACGATCACTCATTGGATGCCGGCCTGCATCTTCGGGAGGGTTACAGGCACCTGCAAACTGTACCCGCTCTACCTCTACTCGCGTCCACTGGCCCTTTACGGGCATGTGGAAACAGTGTGTTGTTTCGATCTGGCGCATTAATGAAATCACTCGCTGTGTCCCGTACTCATCAGGTTGTGGTAGATTAATTTCATCTGCAAAGATCACCAACTTCTTGTTCACTTGTTTAGGCCGCATCGTATAGCCTGCAGTTGTCTTAACAAACTCGCAATAATGGTGAAACGTTTTCATCAACGTTTCCGGCGTCGTCCCGCTTGAGTAATTCAGCATCGCTACATCGAAAGCCGGATGTGCCTGTAAGACCGCCGTCAATGTCATCGTCTTCCCACTGCCTGGTGGGCCACAGAGAATAAATGATGAACCCGAACTTAGATATGCATTAATCACGAAACTATGCGCCAATGTATCGCTCGTTTCGATCACTCCGCCGCCGTGGCTCAAGCCACTCAATGACTCACTCAACACCCGCCAAGCACCCGTCACCAGGTCCGGAATTACTTGTAGGTAAGCCAGACCCTCCGGGGGACTCAAGTCTACATCATCCGCCGTCCCCACCAAGATGCGTTCCACGTCCTTCGCAAATGATAACCGACCTGCGATTGGGATGGAAGCTCCGAACGCCCATACGATGAAGATGCTCAGCGCGCGCAACACACACGTTCGGGCGTCTAACGACTCCACAGCCTCCTCCGTCAAGTAAGTGATGTGATAACTCAACAGACAAAACAGGTTCTCCACAACCCGAATGCGCGTAAAAGGCACCACGTGGCGGTAGCCACTAGCGGCGTCCAGACACTTAGCCACTAACGACTGACCCACCATGACCGAACGCAACACGTCACAATATGAACTACGCAGGTCACCACCTCCGACCGAAATGCCTTCATCGTAACCCACGACTGGGGGCATGCCACCGCCATTCACATTCCCGCCATTCATACTCATACTGCCCATGCTAGCCATGTTCACACTACCCATATTCATGTTGCCCATGTTCAGGCTTGCGCTGCCTGTGATCCCGCTACTGCCCGCGTACGATACCTGACCCGGCGTCTTCAGGGAAGCCGGATGCGCAGCCGACTTCTCACTCATGTTGCCCTTCTGTAAACGGTCAATCTTGTAACCAATCACCTCATTCACGCTCAGCTGTCTTTCGTTCATGTAGAGCATACCGCAACGACTAACTGTGGCAGGCGTGGCGAACTTCAGCGAATCTGTTTCAAAGATGATTTTAATGCGATCATTAATTTTGAATCTTTCGCCACTCGGCAAGGTAAAGAGAGCGTTGTCATCCAGCAAGGAATTTAAGTTCTCTGCCCACTGCGGATCGACGTCTCCATCGAACACAATGAAGTTGATTTTTTTACTGTTCATAACTTTTCGTAAAGTTGATGTGAAGATACCATCCCACCATTCCAGAGAAGTGCTGTTGAGTGTACCGAACAAGTTCTTCTTGTCCATTGCTTTCGGTGAAATTAGATGTTTGACTGTTGGTATGTTCTGTAGCATTTGTGTAGCGAGTATGAAGGTGTCGAGAGCGGCAGTTTTGCCCGAGCCGGTTGGTCCCACCAGCATGATGCCGTGTCTGATCAGGCAAGCGCGGTACAGCTGGAGAATCTTGTTTATAAAGTTGTCATCCACGGAGTAGCCCAGTGTTTGGCAAGCCTTATGCACGCAATCAACCATTGCTTGCTCATCGTCTGTATGTAACGGTTCACGGTTGGGAAACAGGGAGGAAAGGGCGCTCTCAAACTTAGGCACGTCTTCCGCGACCAACTGAGACAGAATTGAGTCATTCAACGCCTTCAACAACATGGCCGGCTCGTCTTTGTTGCCGGCGAAGAGTCTATTCACAGTGCCCGCGACGCTCAGGACGCTTTTGAGCGCTCGGAGTCCAAAATCGTAATGACTTTGATGACTAAGAGTTTGATGGCAGTGTTCGAAGAACTGTACGATATTGGGGGCCAACTTAGTAGCGGTAGTGAAGCCCTGTGAAAATAAGATAACTTCTGCAATCATGGTTTTATCCGGTGCAACCATGGCAAATTCCCTAAATAACTGTTTGAGATTATCTGGCAGGTTGCTACGTCCGGCATAACCAGGATTCATAGTAACAAAGATGCCCACATTCTCTGAGAGTTGTATGCTATGAGCCGTCTTGGCGTTTTGTACGTTCAGTAAGTTGATAGAAGTTTTCTTTTGTCGAAGGCCGCTTTGTATAATCAGGATTTGTTCGCTAACAGCACTCAATATTTTTTCCTCGAGTCTGTTGAACTCGTCCAAACACCCCCAAGCGCCGACTTGACAGAGGCCGCTTAATATGCGGTTCATGGCCGAAAAGTCAAAGGTTTCGTCACAGTTGAAAACGAGCACAAAGAGACCTAGAGTTTGTCCGAAGAATTTGACAGTCTCGGTCTTGCCCGTTCCTGCAGGACCGAAAGGATTACCACCAAGTCGTAAGTGCAGTGCCTCGCCCATAGTCAGTATGCAATTATCAGTCAATTGCGTCTGCACCAACCGTTCTGTCAAACCTAGGTATTCGTAACCGTAGTTAAAACTGGCGGAAGATACACGCACCACAGCCAGATCATACACGAGATAAAAGCGGGTGTATTTCAGCCACACGAAATCCTTGACGCTCGACACACCAGCCTTAACCAACAGCTGTAATACGTCACGTTGATGTACCAATTCCGTTACCAGATTGTGGTGACGGACACGGACAGAACTGTCGTCGCCAATCTTGAATACTAAGCCAGATATCTCACCTAATGCCAGTTCAAGCCGAGCAAAAAATTCACCAACTGTCTTATTCCGTATATGAACTTCAGTACTTCGAGTCCACAAAATCTGCAACGCCAAAATCGTTATCTGAGGAGGATATTTGTTACACCACTCATGAAACAAATTCAACTGATCAACTTCGCATGGATAAAGCTCCGCACCCATTTCTATCAACTCATCCATACCAGTATCTAAACTACCATTAGCATATTCGACCAATGCATCAACTAAACTCTTCTGTAAAGTCTCCTTCATCTGTCTCTCCAACTGATTCAACCATTCAATCACACTACTGTCTCTTATATTCACCTCTTTTTCCAAAACAACCTTACCTCCATCTGCACTTATAATTGATATTATATCGCCTCTCAAGTCCGTTTCCACATTTTGGATGTTATAGAACATCTTGCTAATATGCTTCTGAATAATATTCAAATCTTTAGAATGACCAATAAGCTCTAGCAAGTCATCGTCTCCAATGAAATAAAATCGAGGAAACTGGTTCCTTTGGTTCTCCAAATACTTATAGATGTTCTTCTGAATATTTGATAATGACTCGTTGTATTTCGTGATTAATTGTATCAACTTAACATCAATATTTATGTAATATTCCTTATTTATTAGACTATAGTACAGATTGCTCGTAATGTCGCGATTGACACCAACAAACTTGGGATAGACTTCTGCCAACGTCGTCTTAATTTCACTGCTATTGAATATGTTCATCAGATATAACCATTTCCTTTGGAGTTCCTCATATTCACCTAAGAGGATTCTGAGACTAGATAACTTCGATTCCCAGGACTGTATATCCCCAATGTACTCTCCATTGTAGATACTCATTGTCATAGATCGCAGCATATCCATATCCTCATCCAACTTCTCATAGACGTCTTCCAGGTTCATCATGAGCTTCAGGACGCTCTTCTTGCCATGATCACCTGTGCCTGCAAGACGCGACTCCATGCGATCCACACGCCCTTCCTTGCGGCTCTCCATCGGACCAAGACCGGCCGGCAGTTTGTAGTCCACCCAGTCGATGCTCGTTTCGTTCCAGTAATCTTTGATTTTCTGCATGTACGCCAGAATACTGTGCTCACCACGCGCCTTGACCAATAACTCCTTCAGACGGTCCAGGACGAGCTTCCGGTCCTCCTCAGCCCCGCGGCTCATGGCGTCGTACAAGTCGCCCAACGTTAGCTCCTCCACGTCCTTGTGGATGTGGAGCAACTCCACAACCTCCTTCCAGTGCCGTTCCTTGACTGCTTCGTTCTTCAAGTCGTTGATGATCGTATTGATGCTCACATAGTACTTGATCTTCTCTTGTAACGTATCGCAAGCCTCGTACTCCTGCACCGAAGCTGGCAACTGCTTCATCTCGGTCTCTAACGCAGCCAACTGCGCCCGCATCTTCCGTGGAACCAAACTCGCCCAGTCCGTGTTCTTCAGGTCCTCCAACTGGGCACAGACACGACCCAACTCGTCCCACACACCCTTCACCCCGGCAATGTCCATCTCTAGCTCCTCGAACTCCTGAGTCTTGTCCACCTGTTTCATATGCAGAACTTCGCGCGCTTTATTTAGGACTGTGAGACACTGATGCAAACTATCCTTCTGCGCCTCCACTTCTTGCAAGCTAGCCACCGCGGCCACCGGGTCTGCGCTGCCACCGAGCTGCATCCGGTTGCGCCAGTGCTCTTTTAACGCCGCAAAACCCTGCTCCACTTGCTCCTCCGCCACACGCAACTGGTCATGTACAATGCCCTTGTTCTTTTGCAGCGCCGCAGCATTCTTCTGCATCACCTGCGTGCAGGTAAACCATTCGCCCACCGCCCGCTCGGCCGGCACAGAGAGCTTGTACTCGTGACCTGCCAGCGCGTTCTGCGCATCTAACAACAAATCAACCACCGCGCTGTGGCTCTGAATCGTTACCGACGCCTTTTCAAACTGACTTAGCAAATCAGAGATGCAACCAATCATGTCGCAATACTCCTTGCAGTCTTCTTCGCGTCGGATGTCCAACGCCCGTAGCCTGATAAACGTCACATTGTCAAGGCCCTTCACTGCCTCCAGTTCCGGCCTCGTCGAATTCGCGATCTCACGGGTCAGCACAATTGCACGGTCAAGCTTACTAGCCAGGATTTGCGCCAGCTCTTTTACCCGTCGCTCAATCTGTTCATTGATCCGCGGGATAACCATCGCCAGATTCAGCACTGTGTAGCCAAAGGATTTCCTACCCGGCATCTTGCCAACATCGTTCTTCAACTCCTTCAACGCATTCATCAGCTCGAGCCATGCACTCAAGTCGTTCTGGCGCTCCTCAGATATCATCGATGTCAAATCATTGACCCAAAGATTCGTAAATCCGCGGAAATAATCTAGGTCAGATCTCATGCTTTCAACATGACCCTCAATTGTTTGATAAGTCGCTAAATATGCGCCAGACAACTCGGTAGGGCTGGCAAACTCGGTCAGTGCCTCGAATGGGATTCTCTGGCCCTTCACCAAGGTAAATTTCTGGAAAATCATCAATTTACGTAGTGTCCTATGGAAATCATCATACCAATGCTGCGCAATCTGACCAACATTCGGCTCAAAAATGATCTGGCGCTTTCTAACCATGGCATTTACGATAAACGGTTCCCTGAATAACTTTGATTTCACAGCAACATTTGTAAAATCATTTCTCCAAAGCCCAATTGCCTCCAGCACACGTGTGCGCAAACAATTCAGTAAGTCAGAGTTCAGTGTCTCCACGATCACGGAGAGATCAGCGTCTGGAATCTCGTTAAACTGCGTCTCTAATTGAGTACTAATATTACTGAACAGTTCATAGTCTTCGTGCAACGGGATTATAGCGAGTTTGTTGACAAGTTGATTGATTTTAGTGAATCGCTGTCTCATATGGTAGTACTGTGCCTCAATATCAGCGACCGCGTCGCAAAAGTCATCAGCGAGATTTACGCCGCCGTTTTCCCATTTGGATGAGGTCGCGCCCTTTTTGATAATGGTAGTCAACTTGTTGTAAAAGGGTGCCAGAGACACCTTGATGGCTTCTAAAGACTGTTTGTCGCCAGCATCACGTATTCCTTGGTTGAAGGTCTGTTCGGTTTTCTTCAAGAGCTCTAAGGATTCTTTGATTTGATAATAGCCGCTGTAAATGTCCTGGTAACCTGATGTGTACATCTTGATGGACCGGCTTGTCGGTGGGCCTACAAGCCGGAGAGTTCTACAACGGTCCATGTCCTCCTCGCTGACACTGAGCTTTATGTCATAGCTGGGAGCACCCCCTTTGGTGGTGTCTCTTATGTCAAAGATGGCTTTGTCGACAGGAAACGACTCTGTTTTGTCTGGTCCAAGATAGGCTGCAGGTGAACTGGCGTAGTTTAGACCTTCTTGGAATTTTTCTACATTTGCTCTCAGCTCCTTGCCGTCCTGTGTGCTACTCCAAGAGTCTCCTAGTACAATGCCCATTTTTACCTTGAACAATTCCGCTCTCTTACCAAGTTGTTGTAACCACTTGATATAATCGGCAGAGTCAGATATGCCACACACTCGGGCAGGCACGCATCCTTGGGTTTGCCTCTCGCGATATTCCTTATCGATTGAGCGAAACTCTTCTGCCAGAGACTTAACGAAACGCGATTGACTGGACTTTACTGCCTTTCTGATCCTTGGCTGATCTAGCAACGAGTTGTAGTCCCTGAAAATTTGCAATAAATCGTTGGACTTCTTCGTTCCGGCGACCTCATGACCTATCTTTTCTGCTATGAATTTGTGGCATTTATCCATGTTATCTCCGAACTCCTTTACAGCCGCTTTCCAATTCTCTTCGCCTTTCAAACTCAGATCATAAAAGCTACTGTTATTGATCGGGTATATAGCAGCTTGAAGACCTTTGATTATATCCATAGTCTCATTCACATCCTCACGCGGTAGGCCGTCTTCCATGCCTCCATGTCTAAGTGCAAATTGAAGTACTTCAGTAGCCTTGTCGTAGTTTTTTCGCACATCTTTGAGACTCTCGACTCGTTGCTTCAAGGTCAGGTGAGCGAACGACTTATGGTATATGTGTCCTGTAGTATTATCGCCATCCTTCTTCAGGTTCTCTCTCATCCTTTGCGAGTAGGTTCTCCACTCCGAATCCCACGTGTCAAAAATCTTTGCCAGGTCACGATTCAGCGAAGAGCCTTTGAAAGTAACGAAGTCTTGCTGCACAAGTATATCCACTGTCCTTTCCACCATCATACGGCTTGTTGCTTCTAGGAAAGAGGATGCGCGTTGATATGAGTATTTTTTGCGGAGTTGATGTACATGATGGAAGGCTTGAAAAATGTCGCCTATGGCATCGGTGATTTGACCCAGTTGATCAGCCGCGGCGAGTTTATCAAGCGGCACCTTAGTAACGAACTCGCGTATCTCCCGGACATCATTAGATGCTCGCTTCACCTTAGGCTCTAGGTTCTCAAGATAGTTGGTAGCCCGGTGGTTCTTGACCAAAACAGCAACTTGCAATCGCACTTCCGGGGCTGCAAGGCGGTCAACCAGTTCCGATAGTGTGTCTTCTAGACACTGCCAGTAGCTCAACTCATCAATCGCTTTGGTCTTGCACTTGTCGTCGAAGGTTGTCAAGGCAGCAATGCTTTCATTCCACTGGTTCAGCTGTTCCTGCAACTCGTCCACATACTCCTTTTTGTTGTATTGCGGCACTTTCACCACGATCTCCGGGCCCACCTCTGTCGCCTTGCCGCCCTCTGCCGCCTCAGCGCCCCATACTTTGACAGCCACGTCATGGACGGCCTTGTCAGCCACAATACTCACCTTCGGAATCCCGTCACTCTGCTGAACCATATGCATAGACACACACAGCTCTTGCGCCTTCTTCTTCACAGAACCCAGAACACCCCCACTAGCGCCGTCCTCCACCAGCGTTGGCTTCAAAGTATGCTGCAGCAAACTTTCGAGAGTCTCCAAAAAGGAACTGTAACCGTGACTCGCCAAACTCATGATTTGTAACTGAGCTCTCAAATCCACCTCCTCTCGTAGGTCCTCCACGCTCTCCCGCTTCATTATCGCGATCACACTGTGGGCAAAACTGTCCCGGGTCAAACTTAACCCTAAAGATGCCGTCTTCAAACCAGCCGCAACAAACAAGAACATCACTCGCATCACCGGGTCGCGCATAAACTTGCTAGCTACCTCCCCCACACCGGACACTTTTTGACCCAGGCTGCTGCCTTGCACCAACGGTGCCTTATTGTCTAACGTCTTGGGATCCAGCGGCCCAGAATCCAAGGGACTCTTGTCCGAAGCTGTTGTCTTGAAGGACTCAATAATCTCATCATGACTCAACTCCGTCAACAATGAACCAATGTCCTACATTGAAACGAGAACATAACGAACATCCTCAGTACACCCGAACATCCTCAGTACACCCGAACATCCTCAGTACACCCGAACAATGTCAGTACACCCGAACAATGTCAGCACACCCGAACAATGTCAGCACACCCGAACAATGTCAGTACGCCCGAACAATGTCAGTACACCCGAACAATGTCAGTACACCCGAACAATGTCAGTACACCCGAACAATGTCAGTACGCCCGAAGGTCATCAGGATCTAGGCATTCATGAATGCCCCGCGGATGAGTGTGCAAAATCCCGATCCCACACTCTACCTACCGCTACATATGAGATCAGGCTTTCTTCCATTCTCCGTTCTTTTTCAGAACGTGACAGTATTTCTGAACGAAAAAACCTCAAAGGAAGCTCCCTCCCAAGACCCCATCCTCCCAAGAGTGTACCCATCTAGCAAGATTGTGGCATTCTCCTGAGGCATTTCTCCGATACTGACTGTGTCGCATGTCGTGCCTGCCCCCGCCGTGCCCCCCTTATCGGAAGATGCTTACTTGAGTTCATCTAGTGATCGGAATGTCAAGTGGTTCCCCGGTGGTGTGTATTGTCCGGGTTCAAAGTCTTTTCCAACTTCTTCCCACGCGAAAACTCTGATGACTTTGTCGCTGGCAGTATTGATGAGGGGCTTATAGGGTATATTGCAGTAGTAGCATTGTGCTGCCTGTCTGTCCCTGTCTTCTAAACACTTTGGGCAGCGGTCTCTATTTACGATATGGTCCAGATCCTGGTCCTGTTCGAGTGCGAGTAGGTCAATATCATCTCCGACGCTGACTCCGTCGATAATGCACTGTGGCACACTGATCTTGCCCTCGACGGTTACCTTAAGGACCCCGCGGTCCTGCCATTCCTGTAGAAGTCGGGAGCTGTCGAGATTCCGACTACTAATCACGTCTTTATTGGTATCCAAACAATACCACAACAAGCTCTTACAATTCAAGAAATGCATCATTCGCACAGAATCAAAGTAGCTGTGTACCGCACCTCGCAACGAAGTAGTAACGACTATTACCTCCGCGGGGTTGGCCGCCAACGGCGGTCTCAGACTGTGCTCGGAATCTCGCCGGCCCGCTGCCAAAATCAGCTCCTTTGCCTCGTCCAATGAACCTGCCTTAAACTCTTCCAAACTGAGCATCTCCATACCCACTTCGTAGCCCTCATCCTCCTGCTGACCAAAGTATAAACCATCTTGTCTCCTCTCCATGTCCGGTCCCCTCTCCGTATCTTGTCCCTCCCCTTCGTCTCGCTTCCCCTGCTCTATTTCATGGGCCGCAATCTCCTTGTCAATCTCCGACGCGCTTATTATCGACGAGTCAGAGGAGGAGGATGAGTCACTCACCCCTTGCGGATCCTCCTCATCGTAACCCAACTGATACATAAATTTTCAGACACATTACCAACCAAAAATGACATTTATACCCAACAATCCTGATCCCCAACAATAACAATCCTGACCCCAGTAAACCCTCATACTTGACTATCAACAGAATTAATCAACTGTGGGGTTGATCAACCGCTCGATACCACCCTAAGAGGTCGCAGAATGTCCAGCCGAAGCGGCGTTCCAGAATATGGCCTCAACGTTCCGTCTTAGGTCGGAGTATCCTCTAGCGGAGCACACGCTGTCGTTGAGTGTGAGGGCTTTGACGAGCTTTCTGATAAGGTCGATGTACGTGACTTTGCCTTCTAGCAGGTCGTTCCACGTTTGGCACAAACCGGTCAAAGGTATGGCGCACACAAAAAGTGCGTTTTTCCAGCGATCGAAGGTGGTTTCGTAGTCGACGTTGAGCAGAGTCCATGTGTCGACGGTGACGGGGAAGGTAGCCTTCATGATGGTTTGCAGGTTGCACGAGTTGAGGGGGTAGTTGCGCAACAGACGGGTGCGGTACACGAAGAAGGAAATGATCAAGCGGAGGTCTACGGGGTTTTTGTAATCCAGAGTGGCTATGAGCCAGGTGGCAAGATAGATGTCTGGAAGTCCGGGGTCGGTGAGGATCTTCTGATCGTGGAAGTAGAGAAGCAATTGGGCGGCAATTACAACGCACAGAGGCGCGGGTCCACAGCTCGGAATGCTTTCGTCGGCGAACTGTCTGGGGTACTGGCCATTTTCGTTATTGCTGCAAACCTTTTCCGAGACCCCGTGGGCCAGCTCGGTAAGGAAGCTGAGTTTATCGCTAAGCTTGTTGTTGGTAGGCGTCTGCGAAACTGGTCGCCGAGAAATAACCCCAGAGTCGGCCACGATGTCGTTGTAGGGACTTATACAGACCAGCATGCCCTGGTCCGTGATTTTCACCAAACTACTCAAGTCCGTAGTTGGAAACACTGCCGTCGCGCCTTGCACCATGACCGAGCCGTGGGTTAGATGTACTACGGCCAACTCACGCTCCCGCAGGTGGTGCCGACCCGCTTTCGAGACCGCCAAAGCCCCCGCCGGCATTAGCATCAACAACCCCATACTCGTCCGCGTCTGCACGTCCCAGTCAGCCGTACTCAACAACGCCAAACGCCGGTCATCCGTCAACGCCTGTTGCCGCCAACTCATCAAGTGCTGCAGCAAGTTGTCCGTCGTCGCCTGACTTGTCGCATAGCCCGCGTCTCCCTCGCACCGATTCTTCATGCAACCCACCCAATACATGTAGCTACCGACAAACTGTACGCTGGGGGGAAAGTGCGCTGCGGCCCTGTGCACTGCGGGGACGGGGACTGCAAGCTGAGGGGGAGTTGCTTACTGCCAGGGAGTGGGTAGCACCGTCAGCCGTCCCTTTGCCTGGATCTTGGTGAAGATCTCTGTGGCCAGGGGCATGTCTGCGTTGTAGCGCAACGCGTTCAACATCTTCAGGTAGTCGTCCTTGGTGCCACTGCGCAAGGCGACATTGTGTGACAGATGGTGAGCAGCACAGATGGTGAGCAGCACAGATGGTGAGCAGCACAGATGGTGAGCAGCACAGATGGTGAGCAGCACAGATGGGGAACAGCACAGGTGGGTGGTTACTCAATGTCCCGTCTGTGTAGATGGAGGAGGCAGATAGTTTTGATTTGGTTTTGGACGTTGATCTTGCTAAGTGTGGTTTTATTCATCTGTACAAGTTTCTGGAGCGCGGCCAAGAGCTTGATGATGGCGCTTGTCTGTGTGCTGTAATCTTCAACGATGAAGGTTTCTTCCTTGAGATCCGCCTTGATGAGTTGCAGGACCATGTGCCGTGGGGCGGCGGCTAACTTGCCTACGGTCCCCGGCGCAAGTCGAGCCATGCGCTCCTCCGTCAGCAACGCCACGCCCACCAGGTTGGAGACCGAGAGGGAATGCTTCGAGGAGTCGTCAACCTTGTGCCCCGACCCTTTCGCGTTACAAATGTGCAACACACCCCCCGAAACCGTCAACGCTCGCCGATGGTACCGGTGAGCGTCACGCAAACGGTAACACATGACTCCGCCACCCCGGGAGTCGTTCTCGTTCGGCACATGCCGCAAGGCATCCACATACCGCGGACCATACTGCATCAACACACTCCTCTAGAGACCCCTCCCCCCCCTTCACAAACAGGTGGCGGCGGTTCCTAGGTTTGGGACGGTGGTAGGACGCAGTGATAAGACGGAGTGGTGGGACTTACCTGAAGCAAGGGATTCAGTAGGTACTGGAGCGGATAGTGCAGCACGTTCTGGTAAATATTGTCCAGGAACTGGTCGCTCAGTGGAATGGCGGCGGCTTTGTGCGTCATGCTCCGAAACTCCGCAACGTCCATCAACTTCAACTTACGCGACGTGTGCACCATCAACAAAGCGTACGACACCGCAATCACCGTGTCCTCCAGCGCCTCCAGCTCCTGGCCACCTATCAGCTCCTCTAAACAGGTTCGAGGTGACCCCGCAGTGCGATTTCCGCAAGGCGCAAGGTGACCCCATAAACAAAGGCTAAATCTCCCCCTAGAGATAAAGGTCCCCCCACACACACAAGGGTCATAGGTCTCCCCCACGGTCTCCTCACGGTCCCCCCAAAGGAAAGATCCCTAAGCTGGATTACGTTGTTTTCGCAGTCGCGACATGAGCATTCGTGGACTCTTCCTTTCCATTTGTCGGCTCGATCGCCTCTTTCTGGCCCACTGGAAAAGGCTTATGGATCCGTGCTTCTCCTGGGCGAGCAGAGAATGGTTCTCCAGCAGCGCCGACAGATCCACTTTTTCTTCAAGACTTCCGAACAAGCCGTGGGCGTGATTGGATCGGGCATAGGCCTCGCGGATGATTGTGCCCGCGTAACTGCGGCCGAAGGCTTCGATGGCTGCGTACACGTCCTGCGACTCGCCAGTCAGCAAGTAGTGGCTGGTAAAAAACCGGAGCGCGGTGGCGAGGTCCAGGTCCACGAAGTCGAAGAGGTTGGCGAAGTGTCGCAGAATGGTAGGGTTTTTTGAACAGCAGGAATGAACCGAATTAGGGTACAAACACGGAGTCGAGATCATAAAGTAGGCCACCTGCATCTCGTACGAAGCAATTGGCACTAACAAGGTATCCACGTCGTCCATCAGCCGAGGACGAGACGGAGAGTTGAACTTGAGCTTCACGGTGAGGTACTTGTCAACATTGAGAGTCTTACGCCTATTTCGCGTTTCATTGTTTCTCCTGCCATCTTCTTCCGGCAACTGTCCCGTCTGCGGCAACTGCCCCGTTGGCGGGGCCGATGCCAATTCCCGCTGTCCCTTTTGCTTTGTTGGCCTGGCAACCGCAGGCCGACCTATTTGAGATCGACCCACTTGGGGTCGACTTGTCTGGGGCTCCTGCTGTTGAAGAACACCAAGAACCTCCAGCGCTTTCAGTCCCCTTTCTGGGTCATGATTGAACGCGTCAATACAGGCACAGAACGCCTCAATGAAGGTGTTGACGTAGAGAACAAGTAGTTTTCCTGTAAAAGTTGGGGTCCCGGTGACCAAACTGCTGGTCGTGCTGTTGCTATCGGTGGGCGAATACTGAATATCGCTCACCGGCACTTTGTCGAAATTCCAGTGCGCGGTATAATTTGCGTTGCACACACGTGTGCGCTGGAGATCCCCCTCTTGGCAAAACAGCCAAATTAACTCGCTGTTCGGCAACTCCTTGAGGAAGGTCACAAGCGAATCAAAGTGCGAGCGGTACGAGTTCAAAAGGGCGATAAAGGCATGATGTTTAGCGCTGGGTAGCAGTCCCTTTTCGCTTAGAGCTCCATAGTCGGAGCAATAGTCTAAAATAGCGGTGTTGGTTGGTCTCTTCAGTACTAAAGTCTTATAGTCCGTGCAGCCCAGATCATGGATGGTAAAGCGGTGGTAACTTTTGTTCCGACTCAGTTTGGGTGTTCGCTGAAAAGAGTCAGTAAGTTCCTTCAAGCTCCAAACATCGCGGCCCAAGTCGCGTACTATACAGCCAGTTGCCGCACAACCAAAATCATGATCTTGAAAGCCGAGGGATAGCAGCGATTTGACATTAGCACAGATTATGTCTCGTCGGGAACGAAAGTACTCCATCCATTACTCCGAATCGATTTTGGCCCCAGGACATTTTAAATGGTCGAGCCCGAATGACGCCACGCAGTACTTTTCTGTTGCGGGAACCGCATGCATTAACTATGGATACTGCCTTGGGTATAATAGAATCGTACGCAGCTAAGGAGCGACCAGATGCTGGAGTCGGAGCTCAGGCTCAGGTCATAGCTCAGGATCAGGTCACGGCTCAGGACCCCGCAGAAATAGACGAAAACCACTGTGCTGGTTCAAAGGCAACTAGCAGTTCAGGAAACATAAATGTTCTAGCCGCTCGCACAACAACAATATGTGATCCGATGATCTTGCCAGGCACCCCTGAAACGGATGTTTCCCTCGCTGACACATCGGCGGATGCATCGGTGGATGCATCGGTGGATGCAGCAGCGGCGGACGGAGATTTGCCACCTTCGGAGCTGACCGAACAGGTTCCAGAGTTGGCCCTTGGTGATGTTTCGTCGGAAAAGGAATGTGTAAGGACACCCAAAACAGTCCTTGCTGTGAGAGACATCTTGGAATGTACGGGGCCGGAATGCGCCGTCGGTCTCCTGGGATGTGTCATCGTCCGGCGAGGAATTGACGAGAACACTGGCGAGCCATGGACCATTAGAGGCCGCATTGTCGAGACGGAATATTACGCTATCTCTGACCCCGCATCTCACTCTTTCAAAGGGCTTACACCCAGAAACAAGCCGATGTTCTCTGGTATGGGTTTAGCGTACGTGTATATGATCTATGGCGTACACATGTGCCTTAATGTCACGGGTTCAGAAATGGGCAGCGCTGTGCTGATCCGCGCGATAGAACCGTTGGATGGCTTAGATCGGATCAAGCTGCACAGGGCGCCTATGGAAAAGACGTCAGCAAGGAAGCGACTGGAGGCCACACCCCCCAAGCCACCCCCAGAGTCGGCGAAAAATCCGGTGTCGGTGAAGAAAAGGGCAGTGAAGAAAAAGTCCGAGCCTCAGTCAAAGAAAGCCGACCACAAAGCAATATATAATCTAACCAAGGGCCCTGGGAATGTCGCTCGCGCTTTGCTGCTAGACCTAACGTTCAACATGACTGACCTTCTTGACGAAACCAGCTCTCTGCACATTGTTCCACCGGATTCCCCCAACGAGGCATTGCGACCGATAGCTAGTTCAGGTCGGATTGGTATTAGTGTCGCCACTGATGTTGCTTGGCGGTTTTTTTATGAAGACTCGCCTTATGTTTGCAGGCACTCCGCCAAACATTAATAAGGCAGAATTGGGCTGCACCAAAAAGAGGTTCACTTGGGAGTGTGTTTTAGTGAATGGGGTGTCCAGAAAGAGTGGTGTTTTTTGTTCACTCAGTTTGGTTCGCCAACGGGGGGGGGGTTACGTTGGACAGTACCGAGTCTGTTAGGGGGGTATTGGGTAGTGCCGAGTCTGTTAAATGGGGAAGGCATTAATTGGACGGCATTAGTTGGTGGAAGGCAGTTTGACGTCTTTGGTGAAAACGACGACGTCAGGGTCATCTAGGTTGTCGAGGGCCGGGGCGCCAACGAGGAAGAAGTGCAGCCATGAGCGGCATTTATGAAGGTACTCTATTTCGCCTGACTGCATGATGTTGGAGTACCTTTTGGTGGTTTTGTTCCAGTTCGCGAGAACACGTTCGTTTAGTCGAATGGAGGCGCTGACTTGTGCGTAATTGACCAGCGGTCGTCCAGGTCGCGCCGGGAGGTTGTTAAATGTCTGAGTGAGCCAGCGAATGCTCAGCTGTTGCTTCAGGTTCTTGTCTCGCACGCAGTCTAACAGCTCCACGACATCCACGCCGGCGCCGTTGCCCATCACTTTGGTCGACACGGCCTCGTTGGAGGCGTATCGCTGGAAGGTCGCATGCGGAATTTTTTCCAACGTAAGAATCAAGTATCGGTGCAACAACACCGTGAGACTAAAGTTCAGCACTTCCTGGACCTCCGCGTCGCTCCAACAGCTCCGGCCTGCCATCGGCCGGTTGTCGCCCGTTCTTGGGGTCTCGGGTCGCTGAGAGTCGCCTCCTTCCCCTCGTTGACTCTCCACTTGTTGACTCTCCACTTGTTGACTCTCCACTCGTTGACTCTCCACTCGTTGACTCTCCACTCGTTGACTCTCCACTCGTTGACTCTCCACTCGTTGACTCTCCACTCGTTGACTCTCCACTCGTTGACTCTCCACTCGTTGACTCTCCACTCGTTGACTCTCCCCTTGTTGACTCTCCACCCGCGGACCTTCCGTGTCCTTGGCCTCGTTCAAGAAGTTGGCTTTACGGTCTCCCCACTCGTTGTAGACGGCGTCAACGTAGTTGCGGATCTTGCGGAGGTGGAAGATGACGGCATCGCCCTTCTCGGCCATCGCATTGGCGCATTCGCGGACGATTAGCAGCGGTTTGTCGGAGACGGCGAAGATTGGATCAAGTATCGGACGCAGCTTGACGTTCGGGATCTGTCCCCGCGGTGACAGTGGGGGACTGGCGCCGGCGGAGGATTCCCAAGAAAGGCCTTGCCGATATCTCGCTGAACCGCGGTCGAACAACTGTAGAATCCTGTGCAGCGGTACGGAGACCAAGTTCTTCGTCCCCGCGCCGGAATTGGAGCCGGACGCTGTGGGTCCGGAGGCGTTGTTGCCCGCCCCGGCGACGGTGTTGCCCGCCCCGGCTACGGTAGGATTGTGTTCGAGAATGGGTTTGGAAACGGAGCCAGGTTCCATGGCGAGAGCTAGGGAGTGGAGGGCGGCAAGTAGGACGGTGGCCGAAGGGTCGGGGGCGAGCCTGGAGATGAGAGGTGCGAGGAGAGCGAAGAGTATGAGGCTTTCGAGTTCGGCGGAGGGTTCATAGAGGTAGCTTTGGATGGCGAGGCTAAGGAATTGTGGGCTTTGGAGGATGAGTACGATATCCAGGCTGTTCGTGGTGAAGCTGAGACAGCCGTCAGGTTTGACCTCCATGGTGAGGGGTGTGTGGTAGACCTTGGAGGTGAGGTAGGGAGCGAAGGACCGTGTGGGATCGTTGGCGGCTTTGCTGAGGAAGCTGAGGAGGTTATGGATAGTGGGTGCCTCATGGCAGCGGCGGGTCTCGGAGCAGTAGGCTTCGTGCCAGTGCACTCGGAACTTGGCGCAGGTCCGGTTCTCATCTAGATAGTACCAACCAGGTGTAGTGCCTTCCTTCGAATTCATGCGCTGATCATTTGCCCAACCCACGGGAAAAAGACCTCGCAACGCGGTCTTGAGCACCTTCTGCGCACACTTCGGGTCCATCGGACATGGCAACGGACTTATTGAACATAACACAGTCTCTACCGCCCGCGGTCGGTGCAATGTCCCCGTCGCAATGCTCGCCATCGAAGCTGCCAACAAACGTACAGGAATGGAGGCCGAACCGAAGCCCCCAATGAAAATACGGTTGACTAATAATAGACATGACTTCGTCAGCTGTGTCAATGCCACACACGACTGTGTTGCTTCCACAAACGCGCCACTCGCTATTGTTCGTCCATTCATCATCCCCAACACGGCCTTGAGCGATGCCGCAAACAATTTGTCCGTACGTCCACCGAAGTAAATTGAACTCAATAGCGGCGCGTCCACAGACACCACCAACGCATCCACAAACACGCTATTCGGTTGCCCCACGCCGGAAAGCATCACCCCCGTCCGATGCTCCACACAACCATGCTCCGACCCCGTAACGCCGGCCGCCGGCCGAGAAACCAAAGTCCGGCCACTCACGGGGGGAGGCCGTACCGCCGTCGCAACATTGTTTCCGGACCTAGCCGCCGTCGCGTTGAGCTGAGACCCGCTCTTCAGTCCAGACCCAGTCTTCAGTCCGAAAATACAGGTGTTGATCCAGGTGCGCAAAATTACCAACGCCTTCCGCTTCATGTCAGCCGCCATTGGCATCCGCACCGGCTCCGTCACCTCTCCTGCCTCCACCTCTACTGAATTCGCATCGTGGTGACTCACCAACGAGTGCTCAATTATCGAGCGTAACAAGCAGCACGCGCACCCAATCGCCTGCGGCACCTCCGGAACCGCCGCGGACACGGCCGCCGCCGCCCGACGCACAGACGAGGAACTCGTGCTGAACGTCTCTGAAGACGAATTGCTGCTGCTAAACAACGCCATCAAACCCGGACCAGATACTTCTTGTAACCGCCCCTCTTGCAACCGTCCGTCCTGGCTACAGCCCTCGGGCGTTTGGCCCCTGTAAAAGCCCTGTCTGTCTCGCCCCAGTCGGGCCGGTCCGCCCGAGCTGAGGTGACCGCCCGAGCCGAGGCGCCCGGATAGCGCGTGGCCATGGTCGTTAAACGTGGCAGCGGCGTGCGCACGTGGGTGGTCGACTGGCGAGCTATGCAGGTAGGGCGACGCTAGTCGCTGTCTGCTGCCTTGGCGACTGCCCTGGCTGCCACTGGAACGTTGTACGTGGCCGGCGCCGGCCCCGTCTAGGCGGACGTTGTCTGGACAGACCCCGTCTTGGCGGGTGCCGGCGATATCTATGCTGTGTCGGTAGTCGGTCCTACTGTCCGGGTTGCGGAGTTCCGTCTCAGACATTCGGAATTCGTTTTCAGGGTTGCGAAACTCGCTTTCGGGGTTTCCTTTGTAAATTTGGAGTTTCTGCAGCAGCAGACAGGAGGTCTTGAGCAGGTTGTGGATGGTGGATTGTATTTCTCGCACGTCGCACACGGCAATGAGCGCGTACAGCATGAGGGTCACCTTGCGGTAGACGACACAGAGCTGCTTCGCGCTGAGGCTCTGGGCGGCGGCGACCTGGCGTTCCACCGCCTTGAGCAGCAGTGTAAAGTGGCCAAGGACTTGGTTTAAGACTTCCTGCGAAATGCGTGTGGCCGGATTCGTACCCACGTCTTTCTGCTCTTCCTTGTCGATGTAGTTCAGCAACGGAATCAGGAGTCGCAACAAGGCCCTCGCCGCATCGCTGTGGTACCCGTGGGCACGCTGCCAGTCAGTCAACGCCCCGCCCAGACCCGACGCAGATGACTGGTAATAGTCTGCGCATACACAAATGGTCGAGCACCACAAATGGAGGGAGAGAACTAGAGGTAGGAGACCGAGTGGTTAGAGAGAAGAACTTGGGGTCATAGTGAGGGGGCGCAAACAAGGTTGGGGCGCAAACAAAGGTTGGGGCGCAAACAAGGTTGGGGCGCAAACAAAGGTTGGGGCGCAAACAAAGGTTGGGGCGCAAACAAAGGTTGGGACGCAAACAAAGGTGGGGACGCAGCCTATTGTGAGGCGGTCGAGTCGGGGCTTACTCATATAGTGCTGCAACAGCCTACATCTCCCTGAATAGCCGCAAACCAGATCACTTCCCTCCATGCTGGGAAATATGCATGGTGGACTGCTCGTTAATAAAAATGACCGTGGCAGATTCCGGGCGGTCCTACGATGCGATCATAAAGCTGCTTCTGATCGGAAACAGCGGTGTCGGGAAGTCGAGCTGTTTGCTGCGATACGTCGGCGAGAATTTCGACGAAGGACTGCTAGCCACCATCGGTACGTCTTCCCTCCCCCGACTAAATGATAGCTCCCCCCCTAGGAGTCGACTTCAGGATTAAGTATGAAACTATCGGCAGTAGGTACCTACCAGATAACTAGTTAGTTTGGTTGTAGAAAAGACGTATAAACTTGCCGTTTGGGACACTGCGGGCCAAGAGCGCTTCCGGGGACTTACCAGCAGCTACTACAAAGGTGCGCAAGGCGTAATTCTCATGTACGATGTTAGCGACCGAGATTCCTTCGCAAGTCTAGACGGTTGGATGAAGGAAATCCAGAAGCACTGTAACACCACCAACCCCGTGCTCTGTGTTATCGGTAACAAAATAGACACAGTAAGGCTGACCACCACCCCAAGGAGACCCCGTCCTGATGCCCTTTCTTTACAGAGACGGAACTCGTCCAATTTTGTTAGCACAGAAGAAGGCCGAGAATTCGCCATGGCTCATCAGATGTTATTTGTTGAGACAAGCGCCAAGACCAGTGAGGGAATTGAACTCGCATTTGACGAGCTCGTGCACAAGGTAATCTCGCATCGCTAGCATCGTCTTCATTAATTTCATTGCTTGCCAGATTCATGAGAAAGACATCTCAACCAAACAGGGGGCCTCCCGTGCGCTTAACCTGGAACAGAAGCACGATGAAGACAACGGAGGATTTTGCAATTGTTAGCGGGCATCCCACAGCGGGCATCTCAGAGTGAGCATCCCACAGCGGGCATCTCAGAGTGGGCGGCTCGGAGTGGGCGGCTCAGAACCAACATGCAAGAATTACAGCCGTTAAAAGAGGTTGACGAAAGCAGGAAAAATAGTGGCCTGTGAGTCTGCGACGGAACCGGTATGGTAGACGTCTATTGTGAACGGATCGTCTTTTCACACTATATATATCGTTGAGTTTATGTGTCCGGGTCTATATGTCCGATTACTACTACCACTCTTTCGCAAAATACCCCTTCGCGAAAAAGACCCAAGTATTGTCGTTGTCGAGTCTCATTGCCGAGTCTTGGTGTGGTTGATTTTATATCACCCTGATTTTGGGTTTCTCATTGGTATATCTTCGGGCCGTTCTGTCCAGTGGGAGGGTTCTTTCGAGGTATCGTTCCCATTCCTCATCTTCTTTACGGGGTGCGCTTTTTTGTTTGATGATAACTAGGTCGGAGGTGTCTTGTGTGGTGTAGTGAGGGTGGTCTTCCCACAGAATCCATTTGGGTTCGGAATGATTGCTGACATTAACGACATATTTGCTGGGGTGGCAGATCATAGCCACTGCAGCTGCTGTTTGGTCTGAGGCGTTGCCAAAGAAGTCACGTGTGGGATATGACACGTTGAAGCCGGCCTTAAACTTGTACCATTCACTTCGGTATTTTTTGAGTTCTTCAGCGGCGGCAAAAGCGCGTAGTACGTGGTAGTCTCGGACGGGTTGTCTGGACCGGGGGCAGATCCAGTTCCGGATGGCCTCGGTGGCCCAGAAGCACTTGATGTACCGGTTGGGTGCCCGGTCGGGTCGGCCAACGGCGAGTGACGGATGTTGTTCGTAAATCCTTGCGCCCAAATTACTTAGCACACACGTGTACCAATAACGCTGCAAATGCTCCGGCGACACTGAACGCGCCTGTGACGCCTGCACCGGCTCCTGGTCCAGGCTTGGAATCGCGCGTTCGCGCACTGTCCGTTGCCGCCCCAGTCCCGCGATCACCTCCACCGCCAGACGGTCGAACACGTCGTGCGCCGCCGCCAACGCCGGAATCGCTGCAGCCAGCTCCGCCAAAGCCGGGTCCGGCGACAGCAACTCGTTGTGGTACGCCTTGTCGCACCCGTACAGCAACTGCACCGCTGCAAAAGACGGAGCACTCGGTTTCAGCCGCAACACCGTCTGATTGAAGGCCGCCAGCTTCTCCGCCGCCTGCTGCACCTCCGGAGTCATCGCCACCCCATAGTCCGCGGGCAGCGGACCCGACGGGGGCAGTCGTCTGGGTCCATCGCCGATCTGCTGGTCGCCGCCGCCCAACTCAGCATCGGCCCGTTGGTCGTCGCCGCCCGGTTCAGCACCGCCCGACTCAGGGCCGCCGTCCAGCTCCTCCCTGCCGAGAATCGACTCCAGGTCGCCGCGTGTGTCCTCCGGAAGCTGTGCGTGTTCGGCGAGGCGTTCGAAAATGTCCAGGCCCGCGCCGAAGCCGTCAAGATCAGTGCTGGGTCTCGGGACGCGTTGGCCACGTGCGAGGAGTGTGACGAGGTCTTCAACATGGTTAAGGTCTTGACGATTGAGCGCGTCGGCGAGGATTTGGAAGCCGGTTGCGCGCGCCTTGAGGTTAGACAATACCTTTTTGGCTGCCCGGAGCAGCTCGGGCGAGACGAGTTGGGCAAAGCCGAGGGCAGCGTCGTCCGCCGTGGCCTGCCACGTCAACCCGTCCACTCCCGGCAGCAGGACTTGCGGACCGTTGTTACAGGCAGCCACTACACCGCCGACCATTGCCAGGGCGCGTACGGCCGCCCCCACACGCTCCACAACCAGCGGCATCACCGCGCCGTGCCGAGCCACGGCCAACAACGCAGCTGTGCGCGCGTCGTACGCCGCCACATATTCCGCCGGAATGCACCGCAACGTCCCGTCGTCCAACGAAGCCGACGGCGCCGCATACCCCGTCCGCCGCGGCAACCGCAACGCAGACTCCGCCAACGACGACTCCTCTAACTGCCGATCTCCCTCCGACAACCCTTCCAACACATACGCCGCCGTCTCCTGAGCCGCCGGCTCCTGAGCCGCCGGATCAACGACTCCCGGGTCCAGCCCTTCAGGAGGAGGCAACAAGGGGGAGGCGCCACTCAAGGCCAAGCCAAGCACCGCCAGTGCGCGGGCCGCTCTTTTCTGAGAAGCCACGGGCTTCATCGGAATTATTTTTCAAATATCTTTCCGGGGTAATATTCCGATCGCAGGCGGCCCGCGGCAGCAAGGGAAATAAATTGTGAAAATGGCTGACGGCGGCGGCACTTGGTCACAGGCGGGCTAATTATGTGAAGGTCTGGAATTGGCTTGGTTCGGTGTGTTGGGAGGCCTCCGTTGTGTTGCTCAGAGAGCTAAGACCAGATAAAAAAGACAGGCCAGATTAGTCGTTAAAAAAAGCTGGTCTGGAGTCAGCTGGAAATCATCCAAGCCAATTCGTTACGGGCCTTGTGGTTCACAAAGGTTTGCGTCGTGTACTCGGTCTTGAAGATTTTGCGGTACACGGCAAGAAGGTCTTGCCTCCAGTCCTCATAATTTTTCACGTCCTCGGCTCCAACGGCCTTGCGGATGGCATCCTTGTCCTCCTTGGACAGGGATTCACCCTTGGAGACACCGACTTGTGGCTCAATTTTTTCAATCGTTCTGGCCGTGGTTTTCAGGGCGTCTGTTGTGAAGTATAACTGAGGCCTCGTTCGGAGAGAGAGGGTGTTGGCCACGACCTTGTCTTTGATCACATCAACCGGGTCCACGGGAATCTGCATGGGAAGTATTATTTGGCTGAGCGTTTTGACTAAGGGAATCGAACCCCCCTTGCTGCGATGCGTAGCAATCAAATCAGTGACCACTTCAATCGCGATCGCCAGGTATAACCTGAACGAAACGCGGCCGCAACTTAGGAACACCGGGAGTTCGCAGTACATGTCCTTCACTTCGTCCGGCGTCAGCTCAGCCACACCCTTCTCGCCGACACTCTTGCCGACCCTCCCGCAGCCGACGCACTCGCTGCCCACCATCACGTCCTCCACGTCCGCCTTAAATGGCACGTCCCTGCCGTTGCGGTCCGCACAACCCATCATGGCCATGCCCCAAGCCAGTAATGCCTCGCCTGTCAACTTGTTTTCGGACGATCGCCCTCCTTTCATTTCAAAAACAAAATAAAAATATCCCCGGCTAATTTATTCTCCGGTTAGAGGCTAGCGGTTGACGTTCGCAAAGGCAAACAAGATGACGTGAAAGCCCGGCGAATGCTTTCCTGGGAGATGAGCCAGGGTTACACCAGGCTGCGCCGGAGTGAGTGGAGTCAAGTCTGCTGTTTGCTGCACGACGTCGAGAGTACCGAAAACTCTCGAAGCGCAGTTGACGACGACATAGCTGTGTTAATGGCTCCCGAAAGTGCTATTGAACTTCCACTATATTTCGTGTCTTCAGTACTACTGCGTGTCCACTGGTGCATAGTAGCGAGCGTGTTCTACTGGCCCGGACTTGCGGAAGACGTAGAGAGAGGGGTGCGGTATGACATAATAATCTAAACATCCAGTTACTCCTGTCCTTGAGGATATCAACTTCGTCCTCCGGGCTGCAGATTGGGTTCAATTTCATCGAACCTAAAATTCATCTTACTCTTGCTTGTATTCGCGACTCCGACACATCCGTAATTCCTCGCACTTCGAGTCTCAAGAAGAAACGAGTGCCTGAGTCGTGTGACCACTTAGCCCTGCGGGTATTGGATTGTCTGCGTGTACGACTTTGGGCATCACGTCGCACACAGAACGTCGATTAAAGAGTTTTTTTGTTTTTACACAACGAGAAGCTTTCAGTCGCACACAACGAGAAGCTTTCAGTCGCATTCAACGCCAATCCGTCATCAGCTAGTTCGAGTTCATTCATCAATGCCGCCGCCACCTCACCTCACGACAACCCGCCGCCCCGCACGACAACTAAGATTTTCTTTTCTTACACGAGAAGAGAACCTGATACGGCATTTGCATTCATGAGCAACGCAGCGAGTAACTACAACAATCAATTCAACGCTTTCGCGTTTGTGGTCTAGTGGTAGAATGCCTCGTTGCCATCGAGGCGACCCGGGTTCGATTCCCGGCAGACGCATTTTTCCGTTTCCGGATATCTATCTCGGTGACGCGTTTTTTATCCATTTCTGCTCTGACGTTGTCTTGGTTCGCAGCGGCCTTTTTGCGTAATGCTTCCATCTCTCTTTGATGTACATCCGTCGCTTTGAGTACGTACACTGTGTTGGAGGCCGAAAAGATACCTTTCTGGTGAGATACCTAATGTCTCATGTTCGGGAATATGTTGTATTGCCCCACAAACAATCTCAGACGTTCCATCTTGTCTTTGCTGGTTAGAGGCGACTCCCTGTGGAACCATTGGTTTAACCGGAGGTTCAAAATTTCAATCGGATCTTTTGCGGTGGGATGGTAGGGGGCGTGGTGCAACCATTGGATGCCGTTACCATCAACCATTTCCAGCGTAACATGGACTCCTCCTAAAAACCAGCAATAGTCGGCAACGAACGCGGACCCGTTGTCGCTAATGATACGTTTTGGAATAGCGTAATACGTGAACCAGCGCCGAGTCAGGAATTCGAATAGCGTACCAGAGTCTGTCCGTGAAACGATGTTGACTACCCAGATCTTGAAGCGCAGATACCATGTATTATTATGTATTTTTCTGTGCTGGTTCGACTCACTTATTCATAAAGGGTCCATAGTAGTCAAGGACGAATGTGTGTAGAGATTATGTTTCCGCGCCATGGGGTGTGTGGAGCTCTTCCAACAGCGTGGCGCGCAACGCGACGCGACGGGTACAAAAATCCTATAGACATCCGTGTCGACACGTGTGTTCTGCAATGGGCTGGAGGTCTAGGATCCGGTGTCCGGGTTCAGGCAGGGATAGTGTTGGGTTGTCAACAGATGGAAGGGCATCGTAAGGATCGCTACTTCCATCAGGATCACTGTTTCCCTCAGCTAGGTTCGCAAGCACGACCTGTTCTGAGCTCGATCCTGGCCCTAACGGGTCAGGTGTACCAAGATTTTGAAACGGATGAAATTTGTCGTCACGTCTCCTAGCTGGTCATCATGTGGGGGTCTGCTCAGGTAGTCAGCCGCTTGGTCCAGTGAGCCTCGTCTGAAAATGATTTCGCTTCATATTCGTCAAGCATGATGCTCCATCGCGCCAATTTTCCTTTCTCTGCTTTCCTCATCCACTGCAGGGATTGATGATCCGTCCGAACAGTTAGGTTTCTGCCGATAATCAACGGAAGGAAATGTTGGGCTAGATGATGGCATATGGTTCTAGTTCTTGGACGGACCAATGGGTCTCCTTTTCGAGAAGGCGTTAGAGGCAAAGAATGCGAGGATGGATCGTCTCATCCTTGGCAATATATGGGCAGGTCCCGATACTCCGTTGCGAAGTATCTGTGTCCGGGGCTAATGGACTATCCACGCTTCAGGGGTGAAGCTTCGGAAGGTCAGCGACGAGGTCCTTCACCACTTTGCAGACGTGTATTTCTGCTGGAGTGAGAGTGAAAGGTGTACGGTGTAAGGCTCCTGTATCGTGTCACCAATGACGGCAACGTCATCGACATAAACGGAAGCAAACTTCTCCAAAGGAATCTGCCAAAAGGATTTCGTAAGATCAATCTTCGTGAAGTAAATGCCGGTGGTGATCCGATGCAGAGTGTTTTGAATATTGACACGAACGTGTCATCCGTGGATAGCCATTGCCCTTGAGTACGTTGTTTAAAGGGGCGCGGTTGCCGCATATCCTTACTGGCTTGTTCGGGGTGCAAACGAGTCTAGGAGTATTACGGAACGCGAGGGCGTACCGCGGAACGCGATGGCGTACCGCGGAACTCGATGGCCTAGCCCAAACGGGTCTGGGAGTTCCACGGAACCCTCACAAAAAGGAATTGTGTTGTTGTACAGAAGGACATGGACTAAGAAAATCCAATATCCAATCCATTAAGCCAAAAGGTATTGTATGGAAAATAAAGCAGACAAGCCCTTGGATGAATTGTCAAAATTGGTCAATCTTCCAGGTATAAAATTTGATGAAATTAGAGAATTTTATGTTGCGCTCCAACATGAATATTCTGTTTGCTCGATGAGAAGAAGAATATATGCTTGGTGAAGGTTTTCAGATGCAAGAAGAAGATAAGGGAGGAATAATGACCATTTATTTTCAGCTGCGCACGAGGGACCGGGCGAAATTGCCCTGTCGAGCATACTACATGTGGTCTCATAGGACACCGTTATGTCCCGAGGGTATGGGAGGAAGGAGGCATGTTCCGGGCATGCTCCAGGAACAGGGAGGAGCTGTCCTCCCGAGAGGGAAGGATACTTCCGAAACGAGGGGATACTTCCGGGCGCCGTAGGTCCGTAACCAGCGTGTTGGTAAGATGACGATTGCGCCAAAGAGAGAGTTCGGAAAGGGCGACCTCCCACACGGCTCCAGCACGCGTTCGCACCGACTACCGACCTAATCTACCGCGTATTATGCCGTGCCTACCAGCATTGAAGGAAGGCAAGCTGAAGGCCCCAGAGAAGGAACTGGGTCAAACCTGTCAGGGATCAAGCACCACCACGTCACGGGACTGGTCTTCGTGTAATGTCCCACGTGGGAGGTTCCACATGTGAGGCACATGTGAGGTTCCACCCGGGAAGACTTGGAGCGCACCAGGGGCTGACTCGCATAGACCTAAGCATGGACCTCTTGTTGCGGTTGCCGGGAATGAAAACCGCTGGGTGCGTGTTGTCCTACGTGTAGCCCAAAAGTTCATCAACGAAGAGATTGATGACGTGATCCGAGAAGACCCACAGCAACCGAGGGCGCCTACGCCGGTTGCGAGACGCGCACCGTTGGATCACATGAGGCCGCTCCACCTGGAAGGCAGAAGTTGGTGGCTGCTGGTGGTCGTTGACCATGCCACACGGTACCTGGGGGCGTAGGTCACGAGCCTGTTGACCACACAACAGACTGTCGAGGTGTTCTAAAGCGGGTAGTGCCGTTCGGGATTCCGCGCGTCGTACTCAGGACAACGGCACGAGCTTCAGAGAGCGCGGCAAGTGGCCTGGGTACAACCACCTGACGACAGCGACGTACAAGCCGCCAGGAAACGGTGTCTATGAAGCCTCCCACCAAGCGCTACGAGAGGGCATTGCTGCTCTTTTGCAGGAGGGGCAGCGGGATCTGCGCCACATGCTCGCAGCCGTCGTAACGACTCATAACGCGACGCCACACGTTAGCTCAGGGGTGACACCGTACGGGGTGTTGTAACGGGCGTCAGCCGTTGTTCGCGCACTTCCAGGACCTGGGAGGGACGCCGGACGAGGGCACGCGGCAGCGCCGCCGCGCGGCTCTCGAGGAGGAGAGGTTGCGTGTCGTGTTTGCTCAAGGGCCGGTCACTGGATGCTGCGGAGCCTGCGGAGCTGCACGTAGGAGCGCGTTGGTCGTAGCGATGGAACCAGGGTCGCAGGGCGAGACGAGGGGGAGGGGGGGGCGGCACGGTAGTGCTTCCCGTAATCTGCACGGGGAGCGCCGTACGTGCACACAAAGATCAAGGAGGTTCGTGGTTAGCAAGGACCCGCTGCATCGGCCTAGTGTTTTGGCTCTACCAACGCCAGTGTACCAACGCCCAAAAGAACCTGGGCGTTCGGGTTGGAGAGGCGAGCAGGCTGTTACGAGGCTGGTGTCACCCCCGTGTGTTTGTTGGAGCCGTAACGATTGATGCCCACCGACCGACTAAGTTTAAGAATTTTTGGACGGTATAAACTTTTGACTCCCGCAGTAGGTCGAGCTGTCAAGGTTTACTGCACCCCATTCAGCTCTCAAGGAGCCGGACGTGGGGATGGTCCCCTGGTTTCGCTGTCTTGTGTGGGAGTGGAAGCCTCACGGCGAGTTGAGCGAAGGCCCCTGGTTCTGGGGGAAGCAATTCAAGGGCGAAAGATCCATTATTCGGCAAGAAACTGACGGATTGGCCACATACCGTAGACGTGAAGTCGAGATCGTACAACTGAGGGCTCTAGAGGTCGGCCGACGAGAGCGGCTATTGGCCGAAGTCCAACGCCTGCCCAGGGTTGTTGTGTCGTCGAAGAACCGCCGTTCTGCAAGTACATCGGCACAAATAACCCTGGCTCGTCGTCTTGTCCAACACAGTCTTGTTCAACTGTGCCCCATCGCACGCCACGACTGTCCGAGAGCACCTGTATGTGACGGATCCGTACCTGGCCGAGGCGGACGTGGGCCAGGCCGAGGCGGACATCTGCCAGATCAACTGATCGATATGGAACATCTTCGGAACCGATACACTTTTGCAGCAAGTCATCCTTCTGAGTCCACACCATCGAGGACCGTGGAGGGCTTGCTACAAAAGTGTATCGGTTCTGGAGATGTTCCATGTCGATCAGGTGAGTTTTTTCGGATATTGTAAATTTCTTCTCTTTGGAGTACCACTATGGTCATAGCAGCCACTCCTCCTTGATTTTTGTAGCCTGACAAGCGGATACAGTTTTTCATGACCCCTAGGGCCTCCGGCATGTTTCCATAAGACGACGCCTTCTGGAAAGTGTCTCAACTGTTGGAAGTGCCAGGTGGTGGACACAGCGACCAACACTCATAAGAGAGAGAAGAAGGGTTCAAGACGGTATCAACGTTTCGGAGAAATGATGTTGTGTCGAACTGGTCCCTACTGACGTGGTGCTGCCTGCGTCGTACGAGGAGCCCTCGATGTCGATTCTGCTCACTTGCATCGCTAGGTTGCTAACTCCCTCTGTATTTTATTAAAAAGCTTCGGCGGGCGAGACATAACAACTGGAAGCCGACCGTCGGTCTTTTCCCGCCTGTTCTCTGCCCGCTCCTCCAGCTCGCGCTGCCCTGAGACGTACTCTTGAGTTACCCATCGTAGTGGCTCCGTGCTCAGCTTGAACCTTCTCACTTGGTCCTTGTGCGCCGTGACCGTCCACCCCGGCACGTCGCATCTTTCTGCCACTACCTGCGTTTTTCTCAACTCTGTTATCCTCACTGGTAGCGATCACGCGGTGTGCGCCCAGGCGGGTGTCTTCGGTCCTCCCCTGGCGTCTGCCTGTGACCCTGGCTCCATCGAGACTACTATTATTTCTACTACCCGTAGGTCATCAGCGCCCGACTCTTCGAGCGGCCTATCTGCGAGCATGGCCTTTTGCAGTCTCTCACGCATCTGTGTCGGCCGGCTCTGTTTGCTCTGCTCCTCTCACTGTGCCGGTTACCTCTTGCAACCGTGCGAAGTACGGTGGTCTTCCGAATAAGGCCTCGTACGGTGTCACACCTGTGCTGATGTGCGGTGTCGTGGGAGGCTTCGTTGATGCCGTTGCCCTGCGGCCTATACGTGGCCGTCGTCAGATGGACGCAGCCCAACGCGCTAGCCACCATCTCATGGAACGCCCCCCTGAAGCTCGTGCCGTTGATCGGTGCAGGGTTGCGTATGAGAGATCGATGGCCCCCGTGAAACGGCTTGGCAGCTGTGAATCGTTTCTGAGAGGTTGTTCGAAGTGCCGGTGGATGTGTGTCAAGAAATACCGGCTGGCAGATGAGAAGACCACTCGCGGAACACCGAACGGTGTCACCCAGTCCCGCAAGAAGATGTGAGCCGTCTGCGCAGCTGTGACCGTGCTCGTTATCCACGCTCCCATGTACCACGTCGCGTGGTCCATTGCAACTAGGAGCCACCAATTCTGCCCATCTAGCTGCATGGGTCCTACGTGATCCAGGGTTACAGTGTCCATCGCGCTGGGATTCTCCAGACTCCCCTTCGGCACGTTGTGCGTCAGCCGAGCTCTCGTTCGAGTCTGGGCACATATCAGGCATTCTCTTACTACTCTCACAACGTCCTCCGCGAGTCCGGGCCAGTAGAACATGGTGGCTGCTCTCTTCCGCGTCTTGAGTACT